TGATAGGGAGCTGTTTACATATCAATAGGAGCTAGGGATTATATTTATATTTTTTATATGTATGCTCCCCTGTGGCTTCAACAAGTACGAGAGAGACGGTAGATCGATGATGATCGATGTAAATTGCGAGGGCCTAGCGGAAAAGAACACCCTGGAGCCTAGCGGTCACCCTAATATATACAGTACATTGCACACACCCACTTACACACCCAAGCCAGTGGCTGGTTCCTTAAGCCATGCAGATCCATGGTAGGTGCCTCAAACGGGTCTGTGGTTGATTTCAAAAAAAACAGCTGCTGTTGCCGAACAACTTGTGTCGGCTGGTCATGTCGATTTTTTACATGCCAGATCTCTTCTCACTATAAGATCAAGAGGCTGTCGCTGATCTTCAGGAACGGCATCGGGCAAGCACACCCTGCCATCTGCAATCGTGAAAACCGTCGAAAGGATCAGCAGGCACAGCATTCCTCAGCAACTGTGACAATGCTTAGTCTTTTTTTCACGTTCTGACTATCTCTGAACTAAGACGTGCAAAGCCTTCTTTTCGTACACTTCCCTTTTTGGATCAAGCAACGCTTCGCTGCTGTTAGCTTCCGCAGATCCACGTTCAAGCCGACCCCGCTTCTTCTTCAAGAAGCCATCGCTGAAGCCACAACAGCACAACTTGCAACATGTTACTTCTTATCGATCTCTATAGCTAACTCGCCGTAGTATTTGCAAGAGCTTTTGTCGCGCACTCATTCGTCACTGTTTCTTTTGCAACCCCCCTCTCGCTAGAACGCTGCAACAACGCCGCTTCCGGCGCCGCGCCGCTGCAACAACGCCGCTCCGATGCGTCGAACCAAACCGCCACTGACCGGACCGGCTCCACCTACCCCGTGCCCCGAGCGGCCGCTACACCAGTTCGGAGGGATCCGAGAGGATCGCTACAGCTGCTAGCGGGGGGAGTCGGTGCCAAAACCACCAGATATCGACGGTCCCCGCGCAACGGGTGAAAGGTCTTTTTTGAAAACCCTCGCGAGGTCAAACCCTTTACTTCTTCAGCCACCGGCACTGGTTCACTTGCGGCCTGAATTCAGGCAGTGAGGCACAGGCACAGGACTACTCTTGTATGCATCACTGCATGGTCCACAGTCAAATCGACACCAGATGCTTGGTTCAACATATGGGCATACCGTTTCTTCCGTCATGAAATATCTGCTTATCAAGCACAGCACATCTGTCTGCTTTGGGTAAGCAATCCTAAGCAAACGCCCACTGACAGAAATACAAAACGCGAATCATTAATGCGAATCAAACGTTACAACCACAAAATAATCCAAAAACATCCGAGCCTTGAACGTTGTACCCCACCTTGAAAGGAACATTCACAGGTACCAAAGATGTTTGGGAAAATCGATCTCTGGACGTCCCACCCAATCCAAACCCAAAAACTGCGAGAGATTGCGAAAGATAGCAAGCACACAGTTTTTGGTGCAACAATTTTGCTGCTTGTAATTTTGATCAATTTTTTGCATCGAGCAAGCACCAAAAACTACCCATGTGTTCATGCGCATGTCAAGGTCAATCACCCATATGCAACCTAACACTAACATATATGTTTTTCCAAATGCACACCCGAGGTTCTTTTTATATTTTTATGCCCTCATGGCTTTGAATTGGTTGCCATTGGATTGGGTTGGTCCAGGGTTGGACCTGAACACCCCCGGTCTTTATCGTGGTACCATTTTCGTTTTGCGTTCGGTTTTGGCACGGTTTAGGATTGGTCTGGTACAGTACCCCCGAAGAACCGTTTTCTTCACGTGCGGAAAAATACAGCAGCAAGTGCACGTTTTTCCAACAAAAACCGTTTTAGTTTGTTCCTTCAGTTGGAATTGACTCACTGCAATAGTGTGTTTTGTCGGCTTTTCTTGCGGCCTTTGAATGGAGTTCCAAAGATCGTATATAATGGACAAAGTTTGCATGAACACAAAGTGAGCATGGTGGGCACAATGAACACAAAATGAGCACAAAATGCTTGGTGGTGTGTGCGTAAAGCCGGACATGATCGCTCGGACGTTGGTATCCTTTTATAATGCTTCTCGGACACAAGTTCATAGGGCACTTGTTTACATTTATCAAACAAGTCTCCTGAAAACTTGTGACAAACAGACTCATATTGGAATGAGATTGCTTTTGTGTGCTAAGGCTTGTGGTAGAGCAAGGCTTCTTGCGTAAGACAAAACCACAACTTTGCGCTGAGGCTTGTGCGAAGGACATGTGTTTTACAAGGATCCTATTCAGATCGAATGATGGTTTATGTTGCTAATGCTACAAGCATTGACTTATTGCAGCTGGGTGTTGTTTTGGATTCTTACTGTAGTACCTGCATGTGCCTGCTGCTTGATGGGATTGGTAATGTGCATTAAAGTAGTACATATGTCCATTGAAGTTCGCACAGGTTCTACATAGAAATCTGCCAAGCATCACATAATGACATTTATAAATACAAACACATTAAACATGTTGTATATGATAACAGGGGAAAAAGTCTACTATCATAATATAGGGTGCACTAAGGCTTATGGTAGGGCTTTATCGCTTTATGATACGGGACCCCGATTTAGTGCCGATCGATACTTGTGCACACTTCCCTTTCAGGGGTGCCGGGGTGTTTGTAAGGCAGGGCAGCAACTATGAATAAAGGTCCGGTCCTTGTTTCGATCGTCCTCGTAGCCTTGTATTTGTAGTTCAGTTTACGTGAGTCATTGTATGTAAGACCAATGAAGATATGAACATGCACACCGTGCCGAGGCTCATGTGAAGGTCCTTTCTTATGTAAAGATCTTATTCTGATGTAAGGCATGTAAGGGTTGTATTGCACCCTTCTTATTTAACTTTGAGGCATTGCAAGTGTCGGTTTCATTGTTCGCTGGACAGAGATTGAAGCCTCTACGAGTAGCGCGAGTAGTGTGGACTCTTCGAAGGAAAGGAAGGAACGCAAAAAAAAGAGTACTGTGGACTCTGGACCATCTGAACGCCTCATTTTGGGAATTGATCTGAATGCCAGCGTTCCGAAACGAAGTGCTGCGTTAGTTGGGAGGTGGAGAAGGCGCCATTGAGGCAGGGACCTGATTGCCGCCGATTTCACTCTCGAGCCCTCGCCGTGACCTCATCGTCTGGAAAAATTATCTATCCTGTGACTGGTAGGGGATGCACGCGAAGCCCTGCTGAGACTTGTTTGCGTCGGAAAAAAGAAAGTTTTATGATCCTCGGGCCAGTCTTGATTTGCAAATTATTGTGACGACTCGTTCTAGTCGAGTTGCTAGGGCACACGGAGGGCAAGCTTCACTGGACCTAACGGCATGACGAAATTGTGGAGCTCACAGACTGGTGGCAAATACCGTGAGACACCATGACTTTGATGTCAATTTGCTGAATTCGACGCTCGAAGAAAAAAGACGAGACGAAGTGAGCTTTTAGAAAACATCCAGGTCAGCCATGCTAAAAACATGCTAAATGCCTCCATCCTAAGTCTTTCTACCAACAATTAACCGACACTATTACATACTATTACTGACAACATGCTAATTGGCGCTGCTCAGGTCAATTGGCCAATTCTGTTGCGGTCCGTTCCAATGCAAGCAGAAGGTCAGCAATACATGGTACAACGCAAAACATGTGAAATAGATCAATACAATCTATGCTTAGACATCCCTGTGGAGTGCAGTTCTGCAAGGGCACACGGTTTCGAGTCGACTTTCCACAAGCTGAGTCGACTTAACGCTAGTACCTAGTACATAGTAATACATTGTTTGGGAGAGGGACAACTTGTAGACTGCTTTTGGCATAGAAAGAGGCACACTCTCACAATACAAGAGTAATACACCATCGATCTACATCGTTGCATACACTCCCTGGAAGAATCATAGAAGTGGAAAATTCACCGCTTGGATGGATTGCCCATGGTTCCGGCCCAACCAGGTGGTGCCATCCACTTCCACTGCAACACAGGGAGTCGCATCATCCAGTTGAATCTAGTCGCATCGAGCTCGCCTCATCTGGTCGCACCGCTTCCGGTGCATCATGACCTGCAGATCTGTCGACGAAGGCACCGGCGATGTCGACGCCCGTGATCGGCCATATGATGGCATGCAAACAATGACACATTGGGGCTCCAAATGGTTCCACAAAATGCCAGGGTTCCTACAGTATGGCTTCCTTGTTTGATTCCAGCACTCCCATGTCTTTGCTTCTCCTTTGCTCCAAACATTTCTCAACACGAACTTGAGTTGTTCAATTCGCAGGCCACAACATGCACAACCCGCATCTTCGACGAATGTAGGCGGCCTCCATCCTGTGATGAGCGCTCAGTGTGACCAACCCTGGTTCAGCCCCCACAAACTCCTGGCCAGCGCAAGCAGGTTTGTTGACACAACCTGTGAAGCAAAACCAGGAAAAAGCTGTGCCGTCCACGATTTTGGACGGACCAGGTGTTCCTGGTCAAGGCGGGCATCAGTGCCAGACGTGGAACTTCTCACATCTTGCACCTTGTCAACGCACAGGACGTGTGAGGAATCACTCCAAAATGAGATCATGTTGGATCCATTTTGGCCGGCCCCTTCGAGGAAAAACATCTTGTTAGTCTGCGTTGAAGCTTCAACGCGCACGAATCGCCCTCCTTTTCACCGGTGAGTGAAAGCAATCGCGTGAGGCGCTCAAGATATGGTCCTGCGAGACAGCACAACACACGGGACGCCAGGATTCTGCTGGAAAGCCCAACAAGAAACAAAACAACCAGGCAGGCGCGCCCGTCAGCTACACTCTTGCAGACCACGGGCCCAGCCTGAACTTCTCACATTTGCAAATGCATGTTTTAGGTGCAAAGTGTCTCACGCCCCACACCCGCACAAATGAAGATTGGAGAGGAGTTCTTGCACAAGTTCCAGACAGCAGGAAGAAACAGTTTGGGGTCAAGACCCGCTGAATGCTTCAGAATGCTCCCCTGAGCCTCCAATATTTTACTTTGCACTTGGCCCCCACGCAGATGTCATCCACAAAGCTCCATTGTAGGTCCCATGTTTACCTCATGGTCTGCTAACTAGGCCGTGTGAAGACGAAAGACACGGCTAGGCCGCCCGGGAAACGGAGCTCTAAGCCGCTGGGCTTTGGTTGGTCAAGCAACCCGGTCTTAAGACCTCCCAGGGATCTTTCCCAGGCCTGGAAGCGGAAAGAGAATGGCAATAAAATGGAAAAATGGATAAATATATATATATAATATATAATATATATATATATGTATATTATAGGCAAATATCAAGTGTTTTTAGCTTTTTTTAGCATGTCAACCCATGTTAATCCATGTGAATCCCAAACTTGAACGGTCTGGGGCAAGAACTTGTTTGGGAGCTTCTCATCAGGCTCCAGCATTTCGATACCTTCGGCCAGAACAGACACGCTGCGAAGGGAGCTCTTCTGCCATCCATTTGCCTATCCCTATGTTGCTGTGAGGTTTTGGTCCAATGTGGTTGGTTTTTGCATGTTTTTGCCTAACCCGAGCGGTGGAGAACTTGCTTTGCATCTTGGCGTTCCTAGGTGCAAACTAGCAGACAATTTATATTTATCTTGAGACCAAAAGAAGGAAATCAACCATTAATTGCAGTACTGCTACTGCTGCTTTCAGCCTTGGGCGTGCAAATTGATGGTGCTAAGCTATGCTTCTTGGCAGCAGCAATTTGAAGACCAAGTGCAGCTGCAGATAAGGTATGTTCTACCTCTGAAGCACATGTTTGGTGTAACGTGGAGGAGCAGTTTTCTGAGCTGTGGGGTGCCGTGCCACCTCATTGACGTGCGAATTACCCCCCAAGCAGAGCACCAGTGGCCAGCCTTTGATGAGTTTCTTTTTTGATGTTCAATATGTTTGCAATTGTGTGTATATAGCATGTATAAACATGTATAAACTGTTCATCTCAAAAGAAGGCTCAGGCTCAGCTCAATTGTCGCCAGCCAATATTCAAGGTTGACGTGTGCGGTCGAAACGCCCAGACTCAGCCGACTCAGCCTATCCCTCTCTGGGCTATGGAAGCTGCAAGCCTTGAGCCTATTTCTTGCCAGCTAGATCCTTCGCGAAGCGGGGCTGGATGTTTTATGATGTTTCCCGGATTGCTTTGTGTAAAGCGTTGCCTTGATGTCAAGAGTGTGTTGACTCGGTGTTGACTTGTGAAGGTGGACCAAGCTCACAAGCACCTATACTTGCATGCATCGCCCATTTTACTCTTGCACACAGGTCTCAATATATACCGAAAAGGCTGGCTTTCAGGGACGAGTTTGGTGAAAGCCGCGTCTTGTGCATCACTCCAATGCAGCCAAGAGGGACCTGACCTGTGCACTTCAACCATTTGTACAGCAGCGAGCATGGCTGGACAGGGCGTTCTTCAAACCTCAGCTATACCTTCCTTCCCCCTGCAAATATGGCGATTCGCCATGCTCAGTTGCCTTCCCCTCAGCCCGAAACTTACCAACTTCATGCTTGCCTTGCAATCCTCAGATTCCATTCCCATGCTGCGCCCGGTCACTGCGCTCCCTTCCGGTGGTCCCATGGCCACCCTGCTGTCGTATGCGCAACGCCGTTCAGCTCACTGCGACCTATCACCATCCCCGAACTATGCTAAGCATTAGGCAAACCAAGCCCGGGATAGCCCGGGTGATGGTGACGATTGTGATGGTGGCGATGGGTGAGTGTTTTGTTGGCTAAATGCACTATATTCTGCGAACTATATCATATAATATATGCATTCTGATGCAGCATCTGACCCTGTCTCCAAAGCAACCCGTCCAAAAAATGCACCTTCTGCCCTGACGCGCTCTCCAACTTTAGCTCCAGGTGGAGGTTGCATCAGCCTCAGAAGATCTCAGCAAATTCATAGTTGCCGACCCAGATTCCAAAGATTGAACCCGCCCGTGCCAGTAGAAAACGTGCTGCCCCCCCAAGAGCGCAGGCCACATGGGTTCTTTGTGCAACGCGATCACATCTTTCCAGTCAGAATCGCTCCATATATATATATATATATATATCTGATTTGCCAAGGCCCTGTCTCTGTTTTTCCTTCTTTGCTTGTGGCACACAGGACCATACCCTGTGATTCAAACCCTGCAAGCTTCCTTGCAGGCAAGCAAGGTTTGACAACACAAATGCCCGACAACAAGTCAAGAACCGTCAAGAACCAAATAACCCCACATGTCGGGCTTCTGTGTCTGTAGCGAATGAGTACACATTTGGACGGAAGACGAGTAAATGAGCGAATGTGGATGACGATGATGGAGAAGTGGGAGGAAAAAATTGCAGAAGAAAGAAACTCTAACACTCCATGTCCGAAACGAAGCACAACATCACCTTGATTCTGACGCGATGGCTATGGTGTTGATAGCTATCATGGTCTCATGATGTGATGCGGTCGTGGGCGTGAAACTCGATGATGTGGTCATGTGTGTGCGCGTATCATGCTGCTGTGGTCAAGTCATGATCTGTATGAGGACGATCTCTGTGTGCGCTGTGGATGTCATGATCATGGTGATTGCAAGGTGTTAAGATGTTTTGAGTGATAACTTAGTGTGCTCCGGCTGAACAAACCTCGGAAATCGCTTCTTCTGCCACCATCTTGCTTGATGTGCTTCTTTAGGACCCTCTCGCGCAACACTCTCATGTCGACACTCTTTGCTCGATCCTGTGACGTGACCGGACTGTCGCGTCAATGACTGTCGCGTCAATGACCGATGTGTTTACGGCGAACGCTCTGAAGGACCACCGATGTGTTTACAGCGCGGAGGCATTGAGCGTCTCCTGGGCTTCAGGTTGGCGAGCACCACCACAAGTTGATCTTGCATCTCCTCGCACAAGTGATCGAGATCCACATACTTTTTGTGGCCAAAAAGCACTTCACCGTGTCATTAAGAGCTACATGTCATTGATAACAGGCCGCGCTAATGCTTCAGAACACATGAAATTCAATGCAAGCCTCTGTGCGCACGCTATTGCACACAATCAAGCAACCATCAAGCTCTGTACTAATTTTGGTGATCCATGTCGCTCAAGTCGTCCTCTTGCTTCAGATGTGCTCGAAGACCAGACGCAATCTGGCGGTGTCAAAAGCTGCTTCCGCAAACACACACAAACAAAACATCACAAAACTAACAAACAAAAACAAACCCTGCCAAACTGATGCAACACGCAATCCTGCCCCGAAGAGCATGCTGAATTCCAAACATTGGCTCTCAGGGGCGTTGTATTCCATGGCTTAATATTTAAAAGCCATGGGAGTTGTTTGTCGAACATTGTTGAACAACTTGCACCAAATTCCGTGCTACCACTGAGAATGGCCGCCACCAGGTTCGTGGCTTCCAACCCCACTATCATTACTGTAGGTGTTCACAACCTCCAACATATCAGATCACTGACTCAAAATCTCGACTTGTAGCAAAACATCGTTGCATCATGGTTGTGATACTGCTGTGGTGCGCACTTGCCGCGGTTTGTCTTCACCCAAGTCAATCTCCTCGCAGTACAGCTTGTCGGACTTGGCTGGCCAACTCTAACAGCTCCCGGGCAGAAGCCGAACTGCAGTGCATGCAACATTGCGCAACAGATTCCCTGGGTTGCAGCTAGGTTGCTGATTCGTGTGGCCACACCTATCGGACAGGCCAACCAATCGGACGGAGCAACCCTCTGCGAAAAGGTGTGTCCCAAATAGAAAAACCAAGTTCCTTTATCATCTAATCACCCCCGCAGAAAAGAGCACATCAGTGGGCTAGTCCTAGTGAGCAAGTTCCGTTCGTCCTAGAGTCACGTCCCTGGCCCCTATGAGATATACAATGACCTGCATCAACAATCGACATGCAAGGTACCAGCTTTGTGGGTCTGACATTTGAGGACTGTTGTGATGGAGGCTTGCCGAAGGTCATGGCCTTTGTGATCTTGCCGATCTTGATGTCGAGCCTCCGAACCCAACAGCTGTGTCTGTAAACACTGTTGAACCTCTGAATTGTCATTGCGCGATGCAAACCAACCATGGCTTTCAAGCCTTGAAAAATCATCCAGCGGCCGTTCTGCAGGCTTTGCTGCCACCTTTGCTTTTGCTTTTGCCTGGCTTCCAACACCATTGGAGAAAGAAGAAGCAAACACCCAGGAATAACACCTTAATGGCTTGAGTTAATCGATATAGCCATAATGATCCATAATGTGTCTATGATTGAATCGCAGGTTATTGACAGATTGTATAACAATCCAACTCAATCACTTCACAGGCACTGGCAATACTGCTGACATTAACCTCTCTCCTTGGCAATGGTTTTGGCTTCCAATTGGAGCAACTGGTCTTGAAACAATCAACCATAACATTGAACAGTCTTGGGAATGTCCTTTCCGATGATCTCCAAGATCTTGCAATAAAAAGACCCAAACAAAACTACATACACATAAAAGCTCCCGGCACCAGATTAAAAGGGAAGAGGTATAGTATGAAGCACTCTTTAAGTGTCTTTGGGTTTTTCATTCGGCACTGCCAATGGGACACTTTCTTCATCCTAATTCCAACTCGTCCTAATTCCAACTCATTTGGCCTTCCCATTCTCTTTCTCAGCCTTTCCCTTCGACTCCTCACAGTCGACAGTCGGCTGGAGTCCACTCAGCGGTTTTTTCGCGGGGCGGTTCCCTCAAACGCGAAAGAGGTGGTTCGTGGTGGGCGACGATCAATGTTCGGAAACCGTTTTGACGTTTGATTCCTCGACATGGGTTCAAAGCCGAGTGTTTGCTTCAAGATGCTTCAAGCGTTCGTCTGGCCATCTGTTGTTGAAAGGGCAGCCGAAACATCTTTTGAATAACTGAGAACCAATCCTTCAGCTCCACTTTTGCTGGCTCCACCTTTGCTGGCGAACCTCAAAACACGCACCAAAACACACACCAAATTGCAAACAAGAATGTCGAATGATTTGGCCTGCATCAGTCCTCCCCTTCTCAGCCTTTTCGCCTGTAGCTTGACAGTTGCGACTTCTTCTCATTGTTCTATATAGGTGTTGTTTCATCTCGTTTTTCCTGGACATGCTTTTCATGTGTTGCCTGGCGCCTCAACAAACATCTTGCGAATTGGCCAAGCTGCTTTTCTGCCCTGCTGCACCTTGAAGCTTTGAAGGATCTACCTGCAGGATCGAAAACACGGACCTATATCACTCACAAACCAAACCATGCAAGTGCGAAAGACTATATCACTATATATCACTCACATCTTCCGGTGATCAGAAACAATCGGATAAAGAACATTGTAAATCGAACCGTTTCTTTTCTGAAGCGTTTCAGTGCCCACTCAGGAGCCTTGGACTTCATGCCCATGTCCTTGCTTTTGCCATCCGGGATCTTCACGAGCACCATCCTCAGGAGCATCGTACAATGTCGAATGTCACGATCGTACGAGTCCTAGTCCTATGAGCTTTGTGCCACTCTTTGACAAGTTGTGTGGAGTGGTTTGGAGGCCAACGCTATTAGGTTGGAGGCCATTGCCATTAGAGGCCAACGCTAGTAGGTTGGAGGCCATTGCGCATTACTTTCCTGTCAGTCGTGTGAAGTGGTCCGAGGACACAGTTTGCTGTCACCGAGGGGCGGCTCCGGTTTCTGCTGGCCGGGCTGGAAAAATGGTCGATCTACAATGTAGTAGCCCCGACCTCAAGGAACCATCTGTTCAAGAGCACAACTAGAGTATTTGATTCTTGATGGCCTATAGCGTACATGCTGCGCATGAATGACCCGAATCATGTTTCCATGAGACATCACCAAATATGCCAGAAAGCTGTCCGACCCGTCACCACTTCTCGGTTGACCTCTGGGCATCAGGTCGTGGAGTGTTCAAGGGACATGCGGAGGCAAGCGGACGCTAGCGGAGGCACCCTCAACATCGTGATGGCATCTCAGTTGGCATCACTGCGCAGTGCACGGCACTGGCTCTCAAGTGCGTGAGATGCAGTGTTCATCGGATGCGGCATGCTCCGAGCGGCCCGCTCCGTGGCATGGCTGATCCTCTGACAGCTTGCAGTGGTGCCCTCTGACAGCTTCCGAGAAACACGACGCTACCCACTGAGCTACAGTGGCTAGCTGGTCACTTATTTTGTCAAATGGCTTCGCCTGCTTGCTGCTCAGCCGCGTCGAAGTTTGATGTGGCCCGGCACTCTTGCCGAGTTCTGTCCGATGCCGTACATATCTGGGTAAACAAACATGTATATGTGCAATTACACATATTAATCATGTATATATTGTAGCAAATGAGTGGTGAAGGAAAGCAGAGGAGTGATGTGTAGTAGATGAATTACAATACACATAACTTGGCAAATACACTTGGATTAAATGATTCAGAAACAATTGCTTCCCAGGGCGCCCCTAATTGTCCACGATCCCATATATATGTATATATGTGATACATAACTATGTATATATACATATATATATAGCATGAGGAGCATTGCCTCACTTGTTTCCCTGGTGGTGCCGTGCCAAGACAGTGATCAACTCAACTGGGACGCCGAGGTGAAGTCACAGTTTCACACGAAGGATTGCAGCAACTGAAGGGCGAGCTCAACATCAAGCAACAACTGGGGGGCCGCAAGCCGCAAGATGACAAAGTCACAGGCAGTCAAATCATCAGCTAAGCGGTGAAGACCTCGCGAACAAGAAGTTTGGAATCGTTGCCAGCACGATGCAAGCGTTGCCAGCGGTGCGTCAGTATGGAGGGTGCAAAAGGGATCCGGATCTGTGTTCTTCTGGCGAACCAAGACTTCAGCATAAAGGACCAGAAAGAGGGCTTTAAAGAGAAAAGCTACTGCCCATTGACGGTGATATGTGAACCAAACCTGCTGCTCACCTTTGATCCAGGTGATGTGTGGCTGCCATGCCCACTGCCCACACCAACTCAGCTTGGCTCCAACAGGTGCGCTGGAGCGTGCATGCGTCAACAGACCGGAGACCCGGATGTCAGTGCCGCGCATGGCGGAATTCATAGCAGCAAAAGTAGTAAGATGTCCCAAACGTGCGTAAAAAGTGTTTTCGCCAACTCAAAGGTGAGCGTGGGGTATCCACATCCGTAACTAGCAGCCGACCTGGACAATGACGAAAAGCGCTACAACGGAAGGTGAACATAGAGTGCCCAAAGTACTTTTTCAAACAGCAGCGGAATTTGACGGTCCAGAACAGGGCAAATCTAGGCAACAGTCGAAGCCAAAGGTTTCTCCCACAAAGTCATCAAATTCATCACCAATAAGCATCATATAATACGTATACATGTTGTCAACATCTTTCCTGGGTTTGCTCGAAGGACCAGCTGTTCACTTGCTATATTATAGTGAATGAAATCATGAAACATCGGCACCGGCATGGGGCATGGTAGGTGGAGAGGATATATGAAATCTGCTGATCACCATTGAGCTGCTTGGTTTTGAAACAACCTCTCACTCACGCGTGATCTGCTCATGTGCTCATGATATATATATATATATACCCCCAAAAAGTGTAAATCATCTAAGGCGGTCGCAACTGGCAACTTCAAAGCGCAGTGTCTTTCATCTAAGGCGGTCGCGTTCCAGCTGAATCTTGAATCCCTTCGGCAAAGTCTTCAGCAAAGGGTCCCCAATGGCCTCCAGTGTTGCCAGCACGGAATAGCAGCCATCAGAAGCGTTCCAATCATCCAAGGTCATTTGATGATGAATGTGCTACAAGCCCTGGCCTGAGTATCCACAACACTTGTGGGATTGATCAAGTTTGCCACATCATCCTCATCCTCCATTTTGGGCCTTAAACACTGATGTGTCAACCAACACCAAAGCAAACACGTTTACATGACATGCAACTTGCGCTCAACTTCATGCCTTCCATACAAACACGTGCACTGCGGGCCCGTTGGGCCCGTTGCTTCGTCACCAAATGGTCAAACTCACGAAGAATTGCTGGTGTGACCTGGCTGCGTCACTTCGACTGGTCCAAGAGACTAGTCCGAGGCGTCTCTTGTGCTGAAAAGCATACGCCCCCCAAGAAAATGAACCTGTTGGTCGAGCTTGGGCACCTGGGAACAGCTTTCCATCAGCTTCCAGAACTTGACTCGACAAACATCTCGTGTCCTGAGGTGGTTACCCAATGGATCTTTTTCTTGGTATCCTTCACGTTGCCCTCAATGTTGAGCCGACCTTTGAGCTCTGTGACTTTTCCGTTCCTTGGAGAAAAGAGACGTTTAAGCCCGTTAAGTGTGTTGTTGCATGCCTTTGCCACTAACACCATTGTTGCAAGCCATAACTGCACACTCAATTTGCGCACGTGGGTAGTAATATGTAGTAATGATTTGTCAAACGGAAGAAGTTGTATGGTGCAAACATCTCAGAATGCAAAGCTCGAGCTTGTGCTGTTGGTGTGCGTTAGCTTTCTGAGCCACAAACGCCCTTGTTATTTTGTCCTTAGTTGCAGCACCATGCCATACTGCATCAATGAAGTGTCGGCATGGCATGCACAACATCATCAAAAGGCGGCGTACACTTTCATATTCACGGGAAGTTTCGACATAGGCATTGCCCCAATGTAAAAGTGTAACTTGTTCGCCTTCTTCAATCGCAGCAGCGTCCTGAGGCAACACACAGCTTTGGACCGATACAGATTGGAGCACCTCTTCATGAAGGTCGAATCTAGCAGCCTAGCATGTCGGGGCCCATCTGACTTCCACTCCTATGCCACCAAGACTTCGAGTGAAGCAGTCTTGCGGCTGTCAGCAGGTCATGGGTAGACTTGCACACATGGCGCCTTCTGCAATGAATGGCGTGAGCATGCGTGAGCTGATTCATAGAGCGCCAAGTGGGAACATATCACACGCCAAGTTTCACGAGACCGAGGAAATCTTGCGACGGTCGAAGACTTCTTGAGGGTTGCTATTGACATGATGCGCCTGCGTTGCCTGTAGTGCTTCTTTCTCGTCTTCAACTCTTTGATCGGTCTCAAGCCCATGTCCACCTGGGACTCAAATCCAAGGGCCGCATGGCTCCATTTATGTCGTCCAGAAGCCTTCTTTCAATTAAGCCCTGCTGCTGTCGGCTCTCTACAACCAATTGGCATCTGGCGGCCATGCCCAATACCCTAACTGCGGTCAACGCAGTATCTTCAACTGGACCATTCACCTGTTCGCTCAAAGCCCCATCAACAAGGATGTCACCTTGGCTTCCAGTGCGTCTAGACACTCTGTAGGTACCCTCTCACCAACTTGCCTCAACAAGCTCTCCGTGGTTTTCCTTCTGCATCGGCATTGATTTGCCCCAATCTGACTAACACTCTTCTTCTGATCGACTTCCGCATGTCTGCGCTGATACGATGTGTCCTCTTCCAGCCTTTGTGACTGTCTGACCTTCAGGTACTTCGTATCACTTCGTCAGTCTTCGTACCCTCCGCACTCGCAATCAGACCACAAGAAAGACTGCATGCCATGGCAGTCTTAACAGACTCTGCTCACAGTCCACAATATGGCCAATTCCTGGTGGCTCTAATCTAAGGGAGGACGAGTCTGTGTGAAGGCTGGGTGACTCCAAGTTGCACTGCAAAGGTCAACCTGAAACTCAAGCTTTTACTTATTTAGGCCAAGGAGCAGGAAAAACAACACTACCCCATCTACACCCAATATGGCAGTCTGTCCTGTCCTCCTGTTCGATGTAAATGTCTTTAGACTGAAGGAGCAGCCGCTCTCCCAATTCATCATTCTTGGGATGCTTCCTCAAGAGTGCAGGCCACAGGCGTGCTGCCCAACTCAACTTTGCAAGCTCTTCTCGAAGTTGCTTCAAGAAAGAGAAGGTCTCAAAGCATACTAAGTATGAATATTCCTTCTGGATGTATTAGGATTGGCGCACATGGTTTGACTTTTGTGTGGCTGCTGTGCAACATCCCGGATGTTTGACTTCTCAGTCCGATGCCCATCGCATCTGACTCACTCGCTTTGAGCATCGGGCTTTTCCATCTTGCTTGCCGGCTCCGCAGGGCCATCCAAGTGGAGAACTGCCTTGGGTCACGCGGCCACTGCCATCTCCACGAGGCGTACGCGGACCGCGTGGCAAAAAAATATTTCAATCATCCACATGCACAGGAATGAGCTCAACCTGCAAAGGTATTGTCTTGGGATTATGTTTGATATCTAGAGAGAGGTATAGAGAAGTTGTAGCGTGGTACATAGCGATTGTCTTGTGTCAGAACGTCGCAAATCGTGCTTCTACTCAGCACTCACCAACAAGAGGCAGCAACCAACCGACGGAGAACCGCCTAATTATATATTGCCATAGGGGCTGAAGCAAACTAACTGACACTACAACGCCAAGCATAGATATAACTGCATATGATCTACAGACGTAATGTACCGTAATGTTATATTACAGTAAGTTTGATGTACCGAGATTCGTTTGACCTCTATTTTGATAGGAAAAGGTATTGCTTTGGCTGGTTGGTAGATGTTGGTAGTCTACAATAGAGGTCACTCAGGTTCTAGTACAATAGTATTTATAGAAAGTCGAGTCCATCTGCTGTTCCTACGATTCCTACACTATATTGCTTCAGGCCGACTCTTTGACCAACTGTTTTGAACCGCTGACCCCAATGGTTATTGCCAGTACATAGAAGAAGCATGAGAGCAACAAAGAATAAAAACACACCCCGTGGCCGTACTGGCCAAAACTGGCTCATGTGCTTCAGCAAGCATTGGATCTTCAGGAAGCATATGTAACCTGCATCGTACAAAGTTTCAACAATCAAAACCAAGGCCGACGCGGCATCATCAGCAACAGCAGGATACCGTGGCACAACAGGATCAATCCTGGTCTTGTCGATGTGGTTTGAAAGCACATGATTGCCTGGATCAAAAGCATGCCAAGTTTGGTTCTTCTGCTTGTTGATCGCCCAGATCTTGTCCCATTCCATCATGTTTGTTGCCTCCACCAGCTGTAAGTCTTGTGGCTGGTAAGGAGCTAGAAGTAAACGAAACGTGTTCCAGCAAGTTGGACTGACCACAAAAACATACAAAAACATGGCAACTGACAGTCAACGGCCGTCATCTTCTTCTGGCCTTTGACATGCCTTGCGTCAACACGAACTCCTGCAAGCCTTCCACCGTCATGCCACGCCGCATCACACCTTGCACCTCAATTGGTGCTCAGACGCCGGGTCGCTGCCCGACCCCAAAAAAACCCGATCACCCCGTTTGAGCAGGCGAAGCACATTTTTATATAACTGTGCACACAACATGATTCATGGTTTCCATCATCCATGGTTATCTAGGCCATTTGTGTCCCGAAGGGTTGGCGGCGAACAGCTTGGAGGCAAAGAATTGACAAAGTCTTGAGTTGAGTTTCAGTAACACTTCCTTATGCATCCTTATGGCATTTCCAGGTATCTTAGAGGAAGAAAACATCTGGCGCCTTCCGTGAGAAAAAACAGTTGCGATCGCTTGGCTCATGGCCGTTGGGAAGCGTGGATCATCCCAGCCATCGACCTCAATGGCGACTCGCGGGACAACCGATCAAATCGGCACACAGTGTACCACAAGCTTGTGTTTGTGATATGTATATGAGTCTTATATGATTGTAAAAATTGTGTTTAATGCTGATGGCCGTTGCGTGTAGCCACAAGCCGTCCCACCTGCCATTCCATCCACACACGCTTATACAAGTTTGGGAGGTGAGATTTGGCGCCACCAGCGCAGGCCCTGCCCTTTCTCGGTGGTCGGATCAGATCGGGCCGAGGAGTGTGGGCAAAAACTCCCGCGGAGTCTCGGGGCACGGCACCAGCCGAAGAATTGGTCTTTTGCGCTTCTTTTGTGCCTGGATCTTGAGACTTGCCTCATTGTATATAAAGGTGCGCTTTCCCGCTACGGGGAACCCCATGACATGGTAGTTGAGCCGGAGAGCTGAGTGGCTCCCCCAAAATGACGACCGGGGAGAGAGCGACTCAGGCCAATTCTGGATAGCTCTATCAGCCTCAGTTGCTTTGTATTGCCTGTCGTCAATTTACTAGGCCCACAGCTTGCGGCATGGGCCTGCAAAACCTTGGCATGACGGCTGGCTGAGCCCGTTTCAGGAGGCCCTGGATGAACACACTAGCTTCAGAGTGTGTTAAACCATGTTAAACCATCTTAAACCCAGACTTTGCCTCTTCGGACTTTGCTATTCGGCTCCAGCCATCTGGACGACGGTTTCGATGACGGTTTCCACGCTGCGCGGTTGGGCTGTGTTCTGCGTGCGTTCTGCGCTGTGCCGAGTTTGACCGTGCCAAAGACTCTTACAAGTAGTGGAACACAGACGTGCTTCATTCATGATTTTGATGTGGTGCAAAAATGCTGATCAAAAAATCCAGTCCAAGCAAAAAGAAAAGCAAAGCTTGACCAACAACGCCAACATTGTATTGTATACTGCTGCCCTCTGGCCCTTTTGATCGTCCAGCTTCCAAGCTTGTGACATGACCATTGTCAACGAACCAGGCTAGCTTCCTCTTGGAGAGGATGGTGTAGGAAAATTGTGTTTTGGCCTGATCACAGGGACCGGTTTCCAGTGCCAAACACAAACACAGCATGGATGACTGATGGCGATTGACTGACATCGCCATACAGAGCATACAGCAAACAATCGAAACGTATCAAGCATCAAGATCATCAAGCATCCGATCTGAGCTTCTGCACGAATTCGACCAGCTCAACTTTGCGAGATCCAGTAGCTTCCAGCACCCACCTTCCAAAATTAAAGAACGAAACACCGAGCCGAGCATACGGAAATCTGAACTCCGAACGTAGAGTTGCTGACTTTGCTCCAATAATCTGGGCACCCGAGCTTGTACTGTGCCTCCCGGTCTTTGTACTCGATGGTTCTCAAAGCATGAGTCACACCCTGAGCAAAGCAAAGCTGCTAAGAAAAACAAGAGCTGCCCAAACTCGAGCTGCCTCCAAAGCGTCGACTACTGGGCAGGCAAAATCATAGGTTGGATATGCCTGGCTGCCCCAGAAGCGCGGCGCCAGACTGTCCAATACACGAGATCCAGAAGTAGACATAAAATGGGGAAAGAAAAAGATGAGATCCTGTTGTCCCCTGGAGTTGACAAAATCATGAAATGTGAAGAACTAAATTCCTGGGCACTGAAGAAGCGCGCAAACAGCACAACATGTCGCAATTGAGCGGTGTCAAAAACCATCCGGAACTTTTATTAAGATTATAACAACCTTTCGCCAATCCCTTCGCAACGCTTTCGCGGCTGCATGAATTGCTTTCGCCGGCCCACTTCACCCGACAACTCTTTAGCTAACCCTTTCGCCGAGTTTCTGCTACTTACATCTAGGAAAAGTATCAGCATGTATCAGAAGGGGAATCATTCCTAATCTGCAACCACTGCTTTCGCCACATCTTCGCAAACCTTTCGCCAACCTTTCGCCTGGTTATCATGAATCTTTGGATGACATGCTTTGTACTGAAAACCTCCTCGCCAACCCTTTCGCAACAAAATCCATTCATCAAAAAATCAGAGCCTTTCTCCAAACCTTTCGCCAAGCTTTCCCCAACTGCAGTTTTCCTTTCGCACAGATTCATAATCTTAAGTCCTACCTAAATTCTTTCATAGAGGTTTATGACGTTGCTCAATTGATGTTGCGCCCAATGCAAACGCCTTGTACTTCGTGCCATGCCTGTGATGAGGCCTGAGCAAAATCCGTCAAGTTAAGCTGCAAGTGGTAAAAACTGCCTAAGCTCTGTACAAGTCCACTTTGCAGCGGTAAAAGACAGGGTCTCGCAAGCACTTGTTGTTATTTTGCATGTCCTTATGTCGGACATCCGGGTCTGGACGAAACGAGACAACGTCGCCCCAAAACGGCACCCTTGAAAGCCAAAAAACATCTCTACTCGAAGCAACGCCAGGGCACCATTTTGCCACGCACACACATCTTCAGGCCCTCTTCTGAGCCTCGTGTTGGACAGCATGTGTCTGGCCATGAGAAGTTGCTTGCTTCTGGCCATGATGAAATGAGCCGGTGGGTTGGTCGCACCTTTGAGCATCTCAGCCCACCGTCTGAGGTTCTCTTCTACGGGCCTGACGAAGAATCGCCCTAACCGACCCCAAAAAATCGTTCTAAAACGCCATCCTGCGTGAGGCGCCGACAAGGATCTAGACTTGCTTGCAGTGCCCTTGTCACGCTCAGCCCTGAGGAGTCGCATTGGGCACGCGATTCGCGACGCGACGGGCTACGCGATTCAGACGAACATACCCTTTGAGTAACTCTAGAGTCAAGTTGCAACTCAAAGGATCTCAAAGGGTATTTTTGGAGCAACAAAATGACTCGAATACCTTCAACATAAATACCTAAAATTGGATAAAATTGGCTGATTCCAACGTTGCAAGTTGCAACTCATCGTAGCCAGTGGTCAGCCTCATCGTTTCTTGGTCCGTGTCATCCACGTAGGCTTTTCCTTTCTTAATGAGGTCCTCAAACCATTTTCGTTCAGCGAGGAGACGAGGAACCAGGACAGCTGAATGCGTGAATCGAAGGCCCAGGATAGCTGGAAAAACGTGAAAAAGTGTTGGCCTGAAAAGCAGAAGCCTACCATTCAGAGTTTCAACCTGAACCTCATGTTTCTCATCGTTTCTCTCATTTCGACTTCGTTTGCAGCCTGAAAAGCAGAACGCTTTCGGGTCACTTTGGGTCCCTGCTTTGTCTCATTCCCGCCCCCGTTCCTCCATCGCCGATTGCAGCTGATCAAAGTAGTCAGAGGTGTGACTCACCTGGTCTGGCTTCACTTGCCTCGAGGAGGGCGGCGCATCGAGGCGCCACATAGCATGCCACATCACATGCGTGTCGGCCTTCGTACGAAGACCCTAAACTGCCAACGAAACATCTGACTAAGTGACTAAGTTGGCTACAGGGTAGCCAAGTCCTACAGCTGAAAGCAACCAGCATCAACATGTAAAACTTCCTCAAAGCCTGAAAGCCACTTCTGAAGCTCCTTCATAATGTTTTCAACAAACTCCAGCTTCTCTTTGGTGGGGTTGGTGTCATCAAAGCGGAGAATCAGCTTGCCCTCAGGCTTCAGCGACGGCAACACGTTTGCAGAAAAATGACAGCCAGCCAATACGGGCAGGCCTTCTGAAGAGGGCCAAAGCATGCGAAACCATAAAAAAAAACGCAAACTTCGGAGATATAACTGGTTTGTAAAACAGGAACTCATTCGGCCCAGGGAGCTTGACATAGCAGTAACTTGAATTCAACTCCGTTTATGAAACCAGGACACGCAGACATGAACGCTCATGATGTTTCAGAATGTGGAAGAATGTAGCTTAAGACTCCTTGATGACTCCTTACTCGGGCCATGCCTTACTAAGCTACAAAGCCTTGGGAAAAAACTGTCGCTGAATCTACCTCAACTGAGTCGATATGTGCCGACCTTGCACATCCCAACGTTTTCTACACAGCTGGTTTGTGTGATCCATTGTCGATCGTTGCTCCTGCAGTTTTGACCTGCACCTGGGAGAAGGAACAACTGCGCGTGTTCTAGATGGAGTCGATACTGTGCACTAGCGGCTACAGTACACGCCTGATTGAGAAAACAACACGTCCGTTGCATCTTGATGTTGCCCGTCATTTTGATTTTGTGTGCCCATGTGCAGTCTTCATCCTGCAGTTCTTTTGTGTCTTAACAGGCCCCCCTCCCTCAGCAATTACATCTGAACACCTGTCCGTTGAGCAGTTGGACCAGCTGGCTGGACCATGAGCTTGCACAATGGATGGTGAGGGTATGATGTTGGTGACACGGGTATCCGTTCACTGCTTGCTACTTTGCTTTCAAATGACTGACTGCTGTCTCATGGGCAAAGCAAGCAGCGTTTCGCGACGAGAAGGTTTTGACTAAAAACCGCAGCTCACTCGCTTCTCACATCCCAACCAAGAAGTTTGAAGCGTGCGACCAAATCATGGGCTTTGACTGGGCCGTGAGAGCATGGTTCATTCATGTTCATTCCAAGTGATGTTTGCAGCTTTGCACGATGAGACTTCTCGTGCCCACTCCTGAAGTTGAAGGTCGGCTCATGGATCTTCAAAGACGTCACCAAGCAACCCGACCTTGTAGTGCCTCGCATAGTGGTTGTTGAGCATGGCTGCCTGAGCCAGTTCCAGGGGGTGAAAGATCAGCCACGGTTTGTTTCAATCCATGGGGGCCCACCTTCGCGTGGCCAATGTGCAAGTAGCCACTTGGCTCAGGAGGAAAGCGAGTGCAAACCTGTTTTCATGAAGAGCAAAAGTATTTCTCAGAGCAGCTGAAAAGGAAGTTCATAGCCAAAACCCAGCCTTTCCCACTTCAGCTCCAGGGAGCAAACCCTCGAGTTTTGCTTGGTCCTGCGGAGTCTCTTCGCAGGGCTCTTGTGTCACATTTTGGATCGAACTGCAAGCAACATCCGACCATCAGAAACCATCAGTCCTTGTTTTTTTCAGATTTGGTGTCTTTCTCTTTGGCATTCGCCTTTGAATCGTCGGAACCGCAAAAACCAACCAACTGGATCGGCCGACCCAAGGGCATGGCCCGCGGCCACTTCCGGAAAGGGAAGTTCCGTTGCAAGTCTCGAATGTGTCGAGCCCAGCCTCGGTATGAAACACGAATCTGCATGACGTACTATATAAAATATAAATATGTATATATATACACACACGTCAATACTTTAATACACAACATACTGCTATATATATATATATATCTAAGTCATCTATGTAATAGCTGAAACCTGAGAAAGGAGAGGACGAAAGCCAGCGAGAGACCAATATGGTAGTGCAAGACTGGGAGGAAAAAATGGCGGAGCACTTATTGTTGAATGCCTGTAGCTTTCGTGGGGCTTGTACCAACGTGGAGTAGATCAAGATCGGAGCACAGCATGAAGAGTTGAATGTTTGAGGTTTTCTCGATTTTCCTGGCGCGGTGCTCTCTGGAGCGTCCCTGTTTGGTGGTCAAAAATAGACGTCAGTGAAGACCAGGAGAAGGATGCCCGAAAGGTTGTTTTTCGTTGTTTTGAAATGTGTTTCGGGCATCGTGCATCAAGGCGAAGCCCTATGAAGAGCAGGGCTGGGAGAAAAAAAGCGGAGAGCACTCATTCTTGAATGGTTGTAGTTTTCGTGGAGCTGGTATCACTGCGACGTAGATGAAGATCGGAGCACAGCATGAAGTGTTGAATGTTTTTAGTTTTCTTGATTTGCTTGGTGCGGCGCCTTCTGGGGCGTCCCTTGTTAGTGTTCTATTAATTGAGAATCCGTGCAAAAATAAACGTCAGTGAACACCAGGAGAATGATGCCCGAAATGGTTTTTGTGGTTGTGTTGAAATGTGTTTCGGGTATCGTGCATCAATGCGAAGCGCTATAGAGAGCAGGGCTGGGAGGAAACAATAGCAGAGCACCTATAGTTGAAAGCTTGTAGTTTCGTGGAGCTGGTATCACTGCGACTCAGACCAAGATCGGGGCACAGCATGAAGTGTTGAACGCTTGCAGCTTTCTTGCTTCTCCTCTTGCGGCGCTCTTATCCCCAAGCCTCTACCAGGCTGAAGGTTCACCAGCGATGCCCGAAATATGTTTTTTCGCTGCTGTCGGCCATATTTATGGCATCGTGTTTCAGTCTTCCACACGTGGCCACAGAGAGAGTTGCTGCTAAACGCCCCTTGCTTGCTCGCTACGAAGCCTCAGAGCTGCAGCCTGCTAAAGCTTGTCCAGAAATCTGTGCATGCCCCAGATCTAAGCAAAACAATCAGACTCTGTATAGAGATAAATAATGAATGCCCGAAGGACATCCTTTCTGTTGCTGTGGTAAATGTTTTGGGCATCGTGTTGAACGCTTCCGCGTGTCCTGGCTTGAGTTCACCCTTGCCCAACTGGACATACTCACATCATTCGCTCCCAGAGCGTTCACTCTTTGTTGCTTGGTCCTTCTTGGCATGCTCACCAAACCACTTTTTCGATGCTTTCCTGACCCTACTTTTGAACGCTCTCCCCCACCAGGCTCAAGGTTCGACCTCCCAAAAGTGGCCTCTGCGCGACCACCTCCCCCCACCCCCTTTATTCACTTTGTTCACCCTAAAAACTCAAGCCTTGCCTATCGGCTGGCTTTCGTAACTAATGCAGCATATACAGGTGATCTGAGGCCCCAGCGGCAAACATGAGGAAATTGTTCGTGTCCATGTCCTGAATCGATGTTACCGGGAGCCTCCAAGGCAGCAAACAAAGCCCGCAGTATAGAGTGAAGAATGCACGACAACCTCATAGAAATTGGCCTCCAGCCTAGTAGCTTCTTGCTGCTAGTGGCGATGCCAGGAGCTACTAATAGCATCCTTGCTCCTAGTAGCGATGCCCTTTTGCTACTAGTAGCGTTCTTGAAGCAATTCTCAAACTGACAACACCATACAGCTGCAGAAATAATCTGATGACACACCTGCGCCAACAAGTCAAGATCTTCTTGTGTGGCTGCAACCTTCGGAAGGAAACAACTGACAACCATGCCTTGAATATTGCCAGCACTTTGTTGAGGCGGCCACGCCGCCGCAAACATAGCTGACGCCAGCTAGATGCTGATTGAGCTCCTGGACAAACTGAAACGAACACCAAACACATCCAAACACCAACTTGCTACAACCATCCGAGGGTCGTCTACTCTCTAGAAACCTTTAGAGGTGCCCGCGGCAACCACGCCTTCAGACCCGCTTCGGTCTTCAAGCTGCTGGAAAAGCCTGCCTCGCGCAGTCCGTGCAGCGTGCAGGGGGTACGCTTTAGTGATGGTCGGCTCAATGGAGCTCGTTCTGTCTTCTCAAATCGAGATTCTGAACCTTTCTCTGCCTCCTGAAAACCCACCGGTTAAAAAAAGAGGCCAGATCCGAGCAATTAACCTTTGCTTGATTCAACCATATTTGATCAAGGGAATGAAAAGCCGTCCAGAAATGTGGATGAAGCAAGTCGAAGGAATGACGAAAACAAAGCCACTGAGCTCAAGCACCATGGAAGATGGGCCTCATTGGCCAATTGAGGGCACTTATTTCAACGCACACGGTAAGAAGGAGCCTGGGATAGCCTGGGCCTTGCTTGCAGACCGGCTATAGCCAAAACAAAAAATCGCTAAGGGCCAAAACCGAAATCGCTTAGGTTCGAGGAAAATCTTCTGCACTCGAACAATCCGCTTCAACTCTCAGCCTTTTAATGCTACTCGGCGCCAAGACATCTGAGCGCAGGGCGGCCCCGAAGGTATTGCACTCAAAATCTCAAAATCTGGCGCTCTTTGGTTGCCCTCCCCAAAGACAATCACCGCTTGAGGGGATGGCAGCTTGAAGACTGGTACTGGCATTGAAATAGCTTTTTGTAGCATCTGTTATCCCAAATATGTCCCCAATGCTAGCATTTGAGGCATCATCTATACGTGCATGTTTTGTCAACTAACTAACTGCTAGGCTCTTTGAGTCTCAAAGGGCTTTGCTACACAGCAGCTTGAATCCAAGCAAAGCATTCGTGGCCATTCGTGACCAAACAAAACGCCGTCGACTAGCTCCATCTTAGCTCAGGCCACCTGAGAGATCCTGAAAATTCCTGAAACTTGTCTTTCTGAACCAAGAAGCTGCTAGTAACAAGTGCATCGCTTCTAGTAACAAGTGCCTTACTAGTAGTAACAAGAAGCCCGCTATTAAAAACAAGAAGCTATTTGAAGATTGGAATTGGTTTGTGGCTTCCAGCGCCGTTGAAACGCGGCGGGACCCCGTCACTTCCGGGTGCCGCGCAGGTGTTCCGTGCGAGATCACACGCATGATCTCGGACAGACCTTGGCAAAGAACATCCACACTATGCTGCGGGAGTTCGAATTTTGTGGGACTGCGGCCTGCGCACTCTAAAGAAAAAGGCTGCCAACATCAAAGTCTCTGTCATCTCAAGCTGATATCTTTCTGCCCCTCAAGCTTCTTACTCACGGCCAACTTCTGACCCTCTGGCAGGGCGCCGAGCTCACAGCAGTCCTTCGATGATATGCTTCGGCTGCACACACGGAAGCGGAAAACTACCTGTTTCCTCTAATGGGAACATAACATGGCCATCGAAGTCAAAATCGGGCCATTTTTTGCTTTCCACTTTCCAAAACTGTTGCACACTGCGGAACTCACGTCGCTCCTTCCCAACGCAAGCCTGTCCATCCGACGTTCGCGGAGCTTCACTGAAGTTCACTCTTCAGGATCTGCCAAGCCGCGTCCATCCATACAGGGAAGCCAAGCTGTCCTGCCGCTACATGCAAAAATAGCAGGCGCTCTTGGTCAAAACCGTACAGTAGGATTGTAGACGCTCTTCATATCATGGATTTCATCAATCAAGATTCAACAGTAGACTCTCCATGCCAATCCAAAGTGCGTTCCTGAGGACATTCGGTAGATGACTTTATTGATTAGTACTGGTGCTGCTCTCACCTATATATCATGTTCCCAGCTTAGATCAACCTGAACTGCGTTATGGCATGAATGGAAAAATGCCATGCCATACGCCAAGCGACTGAATGTCCAAGTAATGAAGCATCCACTCGCTGCGGCCTTTTTGACTCGCTGAGAACTCGACCTGGGTCATCACGTGTCCCGAGGAGAGCGGTTCGTGCACCGGAGTGCATCGGAGTGCGTCGGCGCGGTGGTTTCCGCTGCACGTTCTCGCCACATCGAAAGGAGAGCTTGAAGACTAAAGAAAATGCCTCTGACGCAAAGGCTGCCGTGATTGATGGGCAAATCATGTGAAATTCCCATGGTTCCCTTTCGCCTTGTGCAATGAGATCAGGTGCATGAAGCCATGGCCATGCCCATCACTGCTGTGCGCACGATGCGCCAGATTCTGCAGAACTGCAACGTGTCGTCCATTGAAAGCTTTTGCAGTGGCAAGCAGATCAGCCACCGGGACCAAACCTTGGCCAGAGGGATCCAGTGCACAAACAATTTCTTCAGTATCGATCTTTGACACATCAACTCCCCCAGCAACTAGAGCGGCAAGCAAAGTATCCCATCCAAGTGCACCAGAGGTGCTTCCCCTCGGCATCAGGTCTTCCAAGATGGTCTCTAATTCCAATGATGCCGCAAAGCAGGCTTTTAGGAGGTCTTCCACATGTCGTTGTAAAAGCATTTGGCCATGAAACATCGTCACAAAGAATGCCCGATATGAGCTTGAGCTTGAGTGAGGCTCCCTGACGGCCAGGAATGCGCCGGCGAGTAGTTCGGCCAGGTCTTGTCTTAGTCCCACATGTTGCAACAAGCGCATTAAGCCAAACATGTCTGCGAGGCCATCGACGCCCTTCTCTCGAGAGAATGAGTTTGTCCCGTCAGTGTAGCCACTGAGCTGCACCACAGCTTCTCGCACTAGCGTTCGCATCTCCAGAACGTCAGCACGACCCCGGGGGCGCAGTCGATCCAAGTAATTGCACAAACGCCTGAAATTAGCATATGTCACCACCCCATGGCCCGCCGGGTCATACAGCATGTTTGCTCCAGATACCAAGTGTGCTACGGGTGAAGGCCATTCCTCCAGTTTCCGCAAGGCTTCTTCGGACAAGCAGCCTTGATGTTGTACATCTAGGCAGGCAAAAAGGACATAAGGCGGCAAATCCAGCCTGCTTAGCTGGTTCATCGAGGTGAGGTCCACGGGAACTGCTTGGAGAAGGCCCAAACGGTCCAGCTGGGGAGTGCGCTGTGCAAGCCAAATGTAGTGGTCTGCATGCAGCGCATCAATCTCCAGCAATCCCTCTGGAGCCCAAAGGCGGCCGACCTGAACAAATTCTGACCACGGACATCACGTTTTCTTTGTGCAAGGACATCACGTACGCATCAAGACCAAGACTTGATTTACGCTATTAACTTCCGCCTTCTTCTGACAACCATTACTGATGTCTATTCTTAAATATGAAAGACAATGAATATATGTTAAGTGGATTGGTGAGCTAGTCACCAATCCGACTAATGTGACTCTTCAGCGAATGGAAACACTTTCAAAGGCCACCGTGGCCTCCAGCAAGTCTGCCGAGGCCATAATGACCCCAGCCTTCTGCAAGGTGTCTGCGAATTGGTCCAAATGCACCCTGTTGGACCCCACCGTGCCACACGCGCTCCGTAGCCGGCTGCGGAGCTGCTCAGGGCCCATGGCAATACTCAGCAAGGCCCGGAAGAGGTCTTCGGAACGTGGCCCAGCAGTTGGGACCTGGTTTTGGGCCATCCGTCGAATGGACTCGCTCGCACGGAGTCGCGGAAGAGTTCCGGAAGACGAGGGGCTCGCGGAGGAGGAAGCCTTGGTGAGGCTTCTGAGGGCCATGACGGCGGCTGAGACTGAGGTCGGCAAATGGAGCGACTGCCAAACTTCTAAAGCCTTGAGTGTTCCTTCTGCGTCGCCTTCTAAGATATTTGCCACCGCCACTGGCTCGGGCAATGGAGAGCACCAAAGGGCTGGCTTTCTTTCGGAGACCCTAATTGCAGCTGCATCAAGCTGCTGTGCCACCTCATTTATGTCAAGCTCACCTGACCTTATCAAACAAAGCAGAGCAGAAATCAGTTGCCTAGCGGCAGGTGATTCTGGCGCAACAAAACTGGCTTCGCCAGGACTGCCGGATGCTTGATGCACCGGATCTGCAGCTCGTGCCCGATGCACCTGCTCGTGCCTAGCTAGCCAATAAGCTTCGGCTCGTTTAGACAGAAGTTTCGCCACGGGGCGGGCAGCTATCCCCTGGCCAGAGGGATCCAAGAGCTTAAGGCATTCCTCCATGAGCTGCCAGGGGATAGCCGCACGCCGCTTCTGAGCTACGAGTGCCACAAGCTGAGTGTTTTGCAAAGATGTGTGGCCGAAGGATGCCAGTTGTTCCACAAGCCACCCCAGCCCATCTCCACCAATGACCTCTTGCAAAAGGTTCATGGCAGCCTCTATACGTGAAAACGTTTCTCGTAAGACACCCTTCCAAAGATCCAAGCTCACTGTGCTCTGCCCACACTTGGCTTCAGCAGCCAAGCGCGCTGCCTGCTGAGCGGTCAATCCGTCAACTGCACCCAGAAGTCCTTCGCAAAAGTGGTCGAAATCAAAAGCTTTTGGAATCTCCTCCAAGGAGTTGAAGCCAGGGCATCTGGCCATCACATCTTCAAAGGAAACTGCAGAAGCAACTAGCACAAGGTCTGCTGAAGTATCTGTCGGTTTCGGACTGGAGGCAGGCCAGCCAGGCCAGGCAGGCCTCGCAGCCGTGGATCCTTCCAACTCGCTAAGATGGATCTGAGACACCTGCGTTGCATCCTGAGGTGCCGCTGAATCTGGAGTGGCCAGTGGTGCTGGCAGCGAGGTCAGCCTCGAATTCATTTTGTCCCAGGAAGTTGGGCCAAGTTTCAGCCCTTGGATATGCCCAAGTCCCTCCCAAATCTTCCAAAAAATTATATACAGTATCCCCCACCCCCATGACAAGGTCAATGGTTGGTTGGACGTGCTGAGGGCTTATGATTGATCCACACCTATCATGAGGACGGACCATTTGAAATCCATCATGAGCCGCCTGCATTCCACTCCACCGCAAGCCCCCTAAGCAAAACATCTTCCCGCCGCGCAGCTGGGCGGGTGATGTTAAGGCTCCAGGCGGCACCACATACAAGGCAAGCTTGAGGAGACCAAGAACATCACCAGAAGTCAGAGACGTGACATCAAGGTCAGCTGTCAGAAGCAGCGACCTTCTCGCACGGTCAGCTTCGAGCGACCTCGCTTCAGTCGAGTGTCGTGGGGCGATGGTCCAGCGAGCGCCGAATGGTCTGAAAACGGGGTGCGGCGACTTTTGGGGGACCGGTGAGGACAAGCAACGTGAACAAAAGAGAGAAGAAGTACTTATGGAATAGGTATGAAAAATGTATAAACGTGTAACATGAAGAACAATTTGTGACAGCAATTCGTTCGCATTCTGGGTCATGCTGCTCTTTCTGTCCCTCACGGACCCCTGATGGGTCGGGCAGCCGCTGTCCCTCTTGCCGACTCCGGCCCGACTCCCTTACAGAAAAATCGAGAATCTCTTGATGGCCCCTGAGGTCGTGCTCACGACATCAAAAAATACTGCCAAGGAAGCGCAAGGAACAATGTGGAGGGAAGCTTTGCAGTTGAAAGTCCCACAAGCCTAGAGCTTTGCCAAAAGTGGAAATGCAATGACTTCAGCGCTGGCTCGCCTCCTGGACGAAATGCAAGGCATGTGTGGAGGAGTGATGCATGTCGCGACACGAGCCACGGATGTCCCAAACAAGTTACTAGTAACAAGGGCGTCGCTACTAGTAGCAAGATCCCCCTTGCTACCGGCAGCGGGGGTTGATCTACAGGATTTTACGTACTAAAATCCAACCGTTCCAAGGTGACTTTCTAGTTGTTCATTGGGTACCAAGGTCTTACTCCCCACCTGCTGTTAGATTTTATGTCAGCCCCATCTCCTCCTCCTCCGCCTCCTCCTTCTCCCTCTCCTCCTCCTCGTCCTCCTCCGCCGGACCTCAACCACGACCATCCACGCCCAGTGTTCCCTGCCGGGCCTCAACCACGACCATCCACGCCCAGTGTTCCCTGCCGGACCTCAACCACGACCATCCGCGCCCAGTGTTCCCTGCCGGACCTCAACCACGACCATCCGCGCCCGTGTTCCCTGCCGGACCTCAACCACGACCATCCGCGCCCGGTGTTCCCTGCCGGACCTCAACCACGACCATCCGCGCCCAGTGCTCTCTGCCGGACCCCAACCGCGAGCTCCAGGCCCAAGTGTTCCCTGCCAGATCTCAACCACAGCACACAACCACAACCACAATCACAAATACAATCACAAACACACGACCACAAACACACAACCACAAATACGCAACCACAAGCACAACCACAACCACAAGCACAACACCACAAACACACAACCACAAACACACAACCACAAACACAACACAAACACACAACCACAAACACACAACCACAAACACAACCACCAACATACATCCACAAACACAACCACAAACACAACAACAAAAACACAACAACAAAAACACAACCACAAACACACAACCACAAACACAACAACACACAAACACAAACACAAACACACAAGCACGAACACACAACCACAAACACACAACCACAAACACAAACACAAGCACACAACACACACAACCACAAACACAAACACAAACACACAACCACAAACATACAACAACAAACACAACCACAAACACACAACCACAAACACACAACCACAAACACACAACCACAAACACACAACCACACAACCACAGCACACAACCCAAGGACCCGCAAGCGAAATCGAGAACTACAATACTCACGACTATGGCAACATGCTCCTCACTATGGCATCAAGACAAATGATTGAAATGTCATGGTGGGGGTCACTCGAAGTAAAGTATTTTTTTCGGACGTGGTTTTGTGAAACATCCTGTGTCCCAATGTCCGTCAGAGTGGGTCAGACTACAGGAAAAGAAAGAAAGCCCTGCCCACCCACAATCTTAAAAAAAGTCCTGTGCATCAACCCTGCAACCACTTGTCACAGGGGCGCAAAGCCTTAGTAAAATCCTAGGCATGAACCAACCTGTTTCTGTCACTCCTTTCTTTAGCATTGGGCAACCTGCCATAGCACCCAGGAATCTTCTGGACAATCGGGGGGACATGGCCTGGTGGACCAACTTTTGAAGAAGTGAGAGGACTGATTGAGAGGGGTTTGCATCCGCAGTTTAGTGGAGGCAAATAGTGTTGTAAAATCCTGTTGCTTTGATTCCTTTCCAGGAGCGTTCAGGGGCATCGTTGACAGAGGAGGGATCTGCAAATGTCAAACCATTTATATAGCAACGCTCTTCTGCAGCCTTTTTTGGCAAACGTGTGATAACATTTGGGCTCTGTTTGATCTTGTCGGTGCTTTGCTTCGTGTTCCTCCAGGAACACCATTTCGAGTGCGAATTTGGCAGCAAAGGTAGTCTAGCAACATCATGCGCAGCCAGGTGGATAGAGGTAGTCTAGTAAATTCCTCATAGAATCCCGTGGGCCTACCCGATCTTGCATTCAAGGTGCCAACCCCTAAAGTAACCTAGGCATCCTGATTTTACAAAATCCAGCATCCCCATTCGGAGTTATTCTGTTATATAGATCCTGCAGCTCCGCCTGACATGCTATCCCAAGAGGTTGTTTTGAACTTTTATTCTTCTAAAATGGTGGGCTCAACCTAATTACAGGATTTCAGAATGGCGCAAGCAATGGGAATTAACAAGGGCATTACTACTAGTAGCTAGAAGCTATCAGTAACAAGGGCATCGCCACTGGTGTTGATGTCAACATCTCTGCAATTCTGAACCTATCGTGGCACCGCTCCAGTGAAACATGTATCTCTCCTGAGCCATCGGGCCAAATGGGTGTGCTGGAAGTTTTGACCGAGCCCAAAAGGGCACACGCTTCATCTCCATCTTCCAGCTCGGCATTGACTGAAACCTCTTGGTTCAAGTCCAAACGGTATGTGATGGTAATACTTCTTTCCTTCATGGCAGAGGCCTTGAAACGCACTCCACACAAGTGCACCTGCAAATGTCGACCACGTGCCTCATCGGTCAGCGGGACAGCGGCTTGCAGGACAGCGGCTTCATCGGTTGGAGGCGGCACGGAAGCCTTGCTCTCTTCCAGCTTTGCTTTCCATTCATGAGCCTCAAAAGACGAAAGCGCATCCTGAAGAGGCGAGCAGTAAACGAACATAATGAGTGACTCGACCGACTGAGTCAGAACTAGTAGAAGCTGCTCCAGAGCGAAAAAGGCATGCCCCAAATCCACCCATATATTCCATTCTCAGAAACATTCTAATTATATATACCATTTGCCATGATTTTTATACCTATATACACACTCGACAACTTTCGATAGAATCCTAAGAACAGTTAGTAGCAAGCACATGCCCAGTCCTGCTTGGGACGCAACTCTGCATGTTCAGCCCACTCTGTGTCCAGGCGCAATCGGAGCTGCCCAACTGTGATGTGGTCAGAACTGCTCTTCACAACAGGAAAATGGCCATCCAAATGCAGCTTGTAGTCTGTATCTGGCCCACGCAGAAATGGCAGCAAGCTTACTTCACACAAGCCCACGTGTTTCGAAGCCTGGTCCATGCCACCATAGGCACAGTACAAGTGAACCCTCAGAAATTGCATATCCTTCAAGTATGTCATAAACCGCTTGGGTGAAGCTCGAATGGGAAACTCTGCGCTTCTGGGCGCCTCGTTCCACTGGCTTCCTCTGACCTGAAGCAGAACAGGATTTTCCTCACCCCACCATTCCAATGCACCCAGGATGCTTCCCGTCCCCTCCGTTTCCAGGTCCAGCTCCGCCAGAAGCCAGCCCTGCACATGTCCAGGGACATGTGGCGGAAGGCTCGGTCCGCACAGGCTCGGTCTTCGCATGTGGAGCTCGGAGGCAAAATGTGGAGTTTATGTGCTGAGTTGATGTGCTCCTAGTAGCGATGCCCTTTGTTACTAGTAGCGTCCTTGTTACTGTTACTATTAGCGGGTGTACGCGCTGAGTTGTATGACTCCCCTGGTCAATGATCCAATATGATTCATGGTCCACATCAACTGGCCATCCAATCCATCCCACCCCTTCTGAGCTACATCACCTCATAGTGCCCGTTGTTGGGATGCTGAGGACACTGACTTGTTCATCTACGTTGTTGTTGATGTTGTTGTTGCTGCTTTCCTTGCACACTGCCGACAAAACCCTCCTGCCAGTCCAGCCGCGACGATTCAATCATACTTCCCCATGTGTTGGATGTGCTGGCAGCAAAATCCAAGGTCCACAATGCAACAAATACAGTAAAAGGACCTCAAAAAAATCGAACGTCTAAAGGACCTGTGCTGCGTGGTCGCCCCACTCCTCCGATACGTTCGTCGCCCCACTCTTCGGGCTGTCAACCTCCGGTTTCCGGCACAAGAAGCCGCTTGGAATCAATGTGTGCTACAAATATATAGCCTCCACATCAACAAAAGAAACAAAGAATATGACTGCATGACACACCTGACTTATCCACCATATCGCTCTGTCTCTCTGTCTACCTCAAAAAATGGGCCAGACACTCAGCTACCCGACCCATCGCGGGAAGGCTGAAGCTGCCGGTCCCATGTCCTCTCTCGCCCCGCGTTTTGGAAGCAGTGCCCACTTTCGAACAGCGCGCTTCGCGAAAACAGCTGCCTGTTCGGGGTGGAACTGGTAATGGGCCATGGAACTGGAAGTCGAACTGGTAAATGCTTCGAGTTTTTTCCTTAAACCATTAAGGCTGCGGAGACAGAAAGACCACTCTCTGAGGATATCTTCCTTTGATGCCGAAGAACACGCAAAAACGACGCAGTCTTGGGGGAGCTGCGACGAAGTCACGGGGTTGATTGGTGGTTTCTACATCCTCAGTGCAATAGGTATGCTGTTAAAGCCTCCATTCAATCCCGAAATGTCTGCCTCTTGCTATTCCAAAACCTAGCGCAGTGAAGTTGAACTCTTTTCCTGCAAGGAAGTTGGGAAGTCACTCGTCCAACGGCGAGCACGAGAATTTGGACCCACTGAAGTATGCCAGTCATTGGCAACTTCAGCCACTTGCGCGTCTTTGCTTTTAGGATGCATATAATATATAATCAACGTACCTACCATCTCAGCTGCACACCGGAAACTTGACACACAACAAGACTGCTTAGCTCGTCTATTGCACCGGATCTGGCAAATCTGCATAGTCAACAATGCCTGCACACAATCCGCTCTGGGTCATGAAGTGCGATCAGTGCGGCAAAGCCCAGGAATCTAGCTGAAGGCTTAGTGGAGACTACAATTCATAAGTCATGGATAAACAAGAACCCTGCCACAATGCCTGGCACCTCCCCTGCAAGAACAACAGAATTTCTCGCAGTTTGTAACTTATACAGTAACTAGTATATATATATATATAACATCTTATAACATCTTGTAACTATCTGAGTGGTCAGCCATCGGCATCTTTTCCTGGGTCACACTGTACCCTCAGGCCGCGCTACAACACTGCAAATAACACATGCAAGCACACCTCGCAGTCAGTGCCAAGCGAATTGTACGGGCACTGCCTGCTGTGCATGGAATTCTCAGCAAAAAGAGTCCAAAAAAGCTCTGGCATCAGAGTCCGGAGCTGTGCAGGGGTTATCACTTCCAGAAGAGACCCAGCTGGTGCACCTTGTCAGTAAGAACCTCAACTCCAGATGGTCAGCAGTGGCGTCTGTTCCCCTAGTGTAGCCGAGCTCAAGCAAATGAACAAAGCCTATCACTCAGTTGGCAAGCGAGTTCGAGTGGCGGAAGAAGTGTCTCTCATCGCCTTGTTGTCTCGGCTGCAGTCCAAGGTGCCGGGTACAACGCCTCCGTGCTCTCCGTCAACACCTGTCTTCGTAGCCCACCGAATCAAACACCATGCCATGCAAAACAACAAACGGTCTGCTACGTGCACATGGACGCTCTCGTACACGAACGCTCTGCTACGTGCTCACGCAGCTTTCGTCAGCTTTCCGTACCATGCAGCCAATGGCACCAAAAGGAACTCCGTTGCTGCTTTTTCCTCCTCAGGTCAGAGCACGGCCGAGGCCGATGGATCAGCAAGCATAGCTGGGCCTTTTTTTGACTCCCAAATCAAAGAGTGGTGTAAGGCTCAGTGTAAGGTTGGCACTTCCAGATCTTCCGGGCATTGCAGAATGGCAGGGACAGGGATGATTACGAAGGTTGTGCAAGGCCGATTGAAACTACAACCTCCTACCCACTATGAGGAACCTGGAGGTAGGGTGAGAACTTGTGTATTCAAAGTTCTGGTTCCTTTGCTGCAGGACAAAGCTACCACCTGCCTTGTAAACCATCTTTTTCACTTGGACCAGCGCGCAACCACCGCCTTTGAACGCATTCCGGGCGATCGGCCACGGATTGGAGTTGCCGTTGGCCGAAGAGCGCCTGGTTCAGCCGTGTCAGCCAACCGAAGGTTGCATCGACCAGCGCAAGACTGGAGGCACACGTAGCCACAAAGTGCAACAAACGGCAAGGTAAAGACTGCACGGACAGGATAGAGAGGATAAACCACTGGTTTGCAAGAAATAATCTGAAAATTGCTAGGATAGCTAGCAAGCAGGTGCTGTGTTCGGCAACAAGTACAATGACAAACCATGCAGGAAAAAAAGATCAACCAGCAGATTAACCAAAAGCAAACATCCGAAAGACCACATCTTAAACGACGAAATTCTTGCAGGCTTGTTGGGACAGCCTCGAGCAGCAAATTACACTAGTCGTTCTGCCAAAAGTTGTTAATGTCGTGTTTTTTCCTGATCCGGACCATTGGTCGACGCTCAATTGCCGCAATCTGGAAGCCACCAGCCTGAGAGAAGACTGTAGGATACTGGTGCGGTCTTACCCCAGCTGCGGGAATCGTGACCCACCAACGGCCACAGCGACTCGGGCTGGCACAGCACGCCACGCGAAACGCTGTCAGCAACGCCCAGGAATCGAGCGAATCCAACATCAAGACGAAGCGAATTGCCGACAGCTGCAGAATAAATATGGGACTTTCTCTTCAAGTGTTCATGCAGGCATGGGCCACTATACGAGCATCTATGGCATTGGCAGAGCTTGTCCACAATCTGACAGAGCGGATGATGCCGACATGCGAGCTAACAAGTGGGGATGGGTCAAAACCTGCCTGGTCCACCATGTAGCAAACGACCTTCCAGGTACTGTAGATCAACTGTTCAGGTCCCGGTGGGCATTTTTCGGGACCAGGACGCCCACACACGTCAGTTCAGCAGGATCGAGATACACCCACCAGGATGCAAAAAGAACCATGTTGAACAACGTGTTCGTCAACGACGAAAAGCCGAACTCCTCATAGCCGCCGAGATCGCTGCGGAGACGGTCCTAGAGGCATCATATCAAGGCAACATGGATGACATTCTGAGTCAAGTCTCAGATACTGAAATACATAATCAGCATATACTAGCATTAATTGTCTGAATCATGCTGAATATACCATGCTTCCGAACAAGACCAAAGCCATGACAGTCCAACCAAATTGAACTGCTAGGGCTTCCACTGTTACCACGACAACAGCTGCATTGGCATCTTGTCGAAGGCAAGCGCAGCCAGCACCACCAGCCCGCCCAGTGACCCGCAAAAGGGACACCCACCTGGGCCAATCAAAATTGTGCTTTTGGCTCAACCAATGCAACACAGCAGCAAATGCAAACCATGCAAAAAAACGCGCATTATATATATATACACACACGTCTTAAGAGATCTCGAGTGGCAAACAGGCTGTCAGTATTCGTTCCGACTTCCGATAGAAAATGGAGTTCACTCCAAATGCAAATCAGTCTTGGATCGTCTTGGAAGGTTTAGTACACTAGTCACAATCCTTGGTCTAAGCCACAAGGTCATGGATCGGCGTAGTGCGATGTAGGCGCGGCCAGCCAGATGAAAACATCGGTCCAACAAAGTACCTCGGTCGCAAAAGAAAGAAGCAAATTCTCGTTTTATCCGCCAATTTGTTTGGGGATCCACTCGACTGGGCGGAGTGCGCCCATGCGCATGATTGCTGGAGTCTAAGCTGGAGATTTCTGGCCCAAGACCTCTGCAAATCAACGACATCACAACGAAGCAAAACATGATCTGGACCACGCACCTGATCCGCCCTCAACTTTGTCCTTTAGTCCTAGTATGTCCTAGTGGGTGAAGCACCACCGAGGCACCACCAGACGTCCCATGGTCAGCCTCCTTCATGAGCACCTTGGCGGGTGCACCATGGAACGACAGCGTGGTCACTCAAACGACACAAAAGTGGAGTCGGCAATGGAACTGGGTGAGGAACCGTGGAACCCGGTGACCGTCGTGAACCATGTACTAAACAGAAAAAACGATGTCACTATACTATGTACCATCATCAGAAAAACAAGCTGCCGGGTTGGAAGTTGAACATCAAAAGATTTATGCAACAAATGGAAAGAGATGAGATAGGGTCCAGTGACATAATATGGTAACGGTGATAATACCTCTGCAAAGCAATGACGTACAGCATACCAATTCACGCACACTTGAAGAACCCAGTCTGGCTCCTTTATAATTCTCACTTCATTAGATCTGACCTCTCTGCTAAGCTCCACAAAACCCGGCACCGGTGCCGGGGGTTCTTTTGGAAGCCCACTCGTGCGACTCGCCGGCCGCCAACCCCACTCTCTAAGGTCCAAACGCTGGCAATCTGCTGTGGCAACCGTAGCCGGGGCGCAAAGGGCTTTGGGTCCTTCACCGTGGGACCCGACCAGTCACGACCGAGTCACGTTCACGGTCGTGACAACGGACGGTGGACCCGGTGGCGTTTCATGCGGTCGATGTGTCGACTTCGATGTGTCCGAGCGGTCGGAGCACTTCTCCGAAGATGAAGCCGAAGTCGATGTGGAAGAAATGCCCCTCAGGCGTAATTTGCAGGTTGTCCAGGTGGCGATCTCCAATCCCAAGCACCTCAGAATCTGTCCAGCCATGCGGCAAGGAGTTGGACCAACAACAGCTACAACTCAAACAGCACGTGGCGAGTCATATTTTTCCGCGGACGTCCAATGCTGCTCGGTCCGCGCCCCCGAGACTTGGGGGCACGGTCGGCACGGTCTTCCTTTCCTCAAAACTGGACGGTCTTCCTTTCCACAGCCAACGGGAGATCCACAAATCGAAGAAGAGAACGTTCTTCTTGGGGTCTCGAATCAGCCTTGGCGTGTCGGTCTCCAAGGAGATGCGAAAAGGGTCAGCTGGTCACTCATCTCCTGGTCTTCGCGGACGGTGACGGTGCGGGGTGTCTTGCAATGTGGCCCAGTAGAGTGGACCCCAATGGTTCGGCCGATCTGGCAGGACACGCCAGCCATGCCTGGTGCACTCCAGCTCCACTCCAGGGATGTCACTGAAGCCAGGGGTGTCACCCACGACCGTCCCTGTGCTCTTCTCCAAGACCTCCTTTAGACCGGGAATGTTGACCGGTCTGGGGATCATACAGCTAAAGCCCCGTGATGTCTCATTTTGGAGCCCTGCCAGGCCGTTTTGTTCTAGTTGCTTGCTTTATTTTCTTCGATGCTGTTTCATAATTAAATGATTGAACAAACTTCCAGTCAAAACCCTAAGATCACCCTAACCATCGAGTAGTCAACATATTATTTGGACATGCTTTGACGAGTGAATGCTGAGAAGAATTGAGTCTATATACTTTGCACATCGCGAGTCCTGCACCACCGCATCATTCTCGATCTGGGACAATGCACACGTTGCGTAAACAACGGTGCCACCCATTGTATTTTGCAGGGCAGATCTGAGAAGAGCCACTTGACGTCGGGAGTTTGCCAGTGCTTTTTCTATTTTCCAAGGCTCTTCAACTTTCCTTCAGACCGGAATGATTGAGCGGTTTCACATTCGCAAACTCTGGCTGAGAAACAACACCGGTTTATGATTGCACAATTCATAGTCTGCAATGCAGGCAAATGTGAAAACACTAGCCGCTAGAGTTGAATAGACTTCCTACATGAGCATACTGCAAATCCTACATCCCACATATATGTCTATATATATATATACAATATGTATATACATTATTTAAAAAAAATGTTAATTTAATATGTATATATATATATTGTAAACGTATCTTATACATAATTATGTGTATTACTATGAGTAACACACACACACATATATATATATACATATATATATGTGTATACGTTTATTTAGTTTATATATAGGATTTTATAAGCATCCTCGGTCCAAAAAGCTTCCCTCCGGCCCCTTGCCAGCCAGCCAGCCTGCCATTGGCCCGTAAGAGACGTTCCCGTTCGGAGCTGCAAGGGGCATCCACCAGCACGGCATCAAAGGGACCATTCGGAAGTTGGCTCAGGATCTTGGAAGCATCGCCACGACGAACGGTCAAGCGGGCGCTCTTTCGTAGATCAGATGGCAAGTACAGCCGCAGGTTTTGCTTGAAGCGGCTCAAGCGGAAGTTGTCCCACTCGATGGCAATCAGTCTGGCGGAAGTGGAAGGTAGGTAAAAGCCAGCCATTACCAAGAACTTTCCACCAGGAGCAGCACAAGTATCCACTACAACCTCTGTGGACCGGCCTGTGCTTTGCTCCGTCTGGTTGATGAGAGATAGCACGGGCATAGCAGAAGCCAAATCCAAAGGATAATACCTGGCGTAGCTGGTTCGATAGTTGCAGCAGTTCCAAAGGGGTGCTGAACTTGGAGGCCATTCTCCATTCACTCGTTCAAGAGTCGAGGAGAAAAAACAAAACACTCCGTTGAAACTCCTGGTCTTCTCCCAAAATAAAACAAAAATGTCCGAATTCTGAACCCCAAATGCATCTTGAGCCCCGTCTTGGGACACGTGGGTGGCTTTGGCAGCCAGCGCTCGTCTTCGCTTTCGCTTTCACCAGCCCAACCGTAGAGGTGGGCTGCTCCGGCGAGCCCCGGCAGTCGATGAAAGCCACGAGATCCCAGGAACTCGTCCTGATCAGGTGGGCTCTGGAACACTATATGTTATGTTATATACAGTAACTATCATTAGTATATTGTACTTATAATATACAATGCGCATTCTACCCCACTAGTGCAAATCGCTACTATAGTGCATATACTGTACTAGTGGGCTTACTTAGGTTAGATATGGTTAGATCGAAAAAGAGGGAACAACGGCCTATCGAATTATACTCTGCCTCCAGTCTATACCACTCCACCTTGGTGTTTCAATCCTTGATCCTTGATTCCGAGCTGCAGCCCCTGTTGCGAATGGGTTGACCCACGCAGCGTAGCGCTTGGGCCGGGCCAACGCAGCGGCCAGGGGCGCCCAGCGACGTCCGAACTCCTCCGACAGCGTCGTCACCCAGGCGCGGCGGCCCAAGGCCAGGGCCACGACGGCCCAGCGCGTGGGTTTGGGTCTCCAAGGCCCCCGGTGAGCCCGGTGCATCCGACAGCGGCTTAGCGGCCGGCGCGTGGGTGTTCGCACCAACTCACGGTGTTCGCACGGCCTTCACGGCGGTTTCAGCTGCGGAAGGTGCAGAGTGGAGGTACTTGGGATGAGTGTCGCATCTCGACAAACAGCTGGCACATGCCGGGAGGTGTAGATGCTTTTTCGGTCTTGCTCTGTATCATGTGGTAATGATGAATGAAGTCCCAACTTGGCTCAACTGGAGGGTACAAGTGCTGCACTGCCAACATGTGAGGCATTTTTGGTTTCAATTTCTTGAGCCAAACACAGTTTTCAACAAAGAACTGCAAACAGAAACGTAAAACCTTCTCACCCAACGGCTGCTTCCCATGCCACGTGCGGAAACCGCCGGTCTGCCCAGCGAAATTTCAGCTCGTCGATCTGAGGGCTGAGCGTAGGTGGCCACGCAGTAGGCTGCAGCACTTCCACACAAGTTGTTCAGAACCTGGAAAAACAACAAACAACATCATGTTTGCATTGTTTATGCTGTCAACAGAAGTGAATTCACTTGGCCCTTTGATTAAACATCAATGCTTTTTAACACATAATCCAGTCTGGCTGGTCTAGACCAATGTCCTGCATTTTCCTGCCTGGTCTTTTGTCATGTGCTCGGGAAGGTTTGAAGAGAACCATGACATCAAATCCTCAGATTACATTGGCACGAAGGAAAACTGGACATTCACATCCTCAGTTTGGGGAGAGCTTTCCGATCCTCCCAAATCCAAAGCTGCGCCGCTGCGCACCTTCTGACAACGAGCAGTGAGACGCGTGTTCACTGTGGCTGATCTGGTCCAAGTGGCCCCGTTGCTTTGGGCCAGAGCTTTGGACAAAGACACTGCGCCAGGTACAAACTTGATGTAGCCACCTGATGGGGTCATGGCCAGAACTCCTTAGCCAGAACTCTTCCCGTGCACAGCGCGCGGGAAGAAACAGGCATAGTGTTTTCATGTGTTTTCAGCATTCCCCGTGACAGTTCGGTCACACTTCGCGAATCCCTTCGGTCAACATGCAGTACTCAGTAAGTCAGCAAGCGTTGTTCACACATGTCATTCCAGCTCTTTAATTCAAGCGGTGTGTTTTTTGGTGGCATGCCCAGAAAAAGCATGAATCTCAGAAATGTGTTTTGACATGTTTTGAAAACAGCAGGAGGGACAAACGTCTTTCTCATTGACCCTCCTTGATTGAACCCCCCTTCGAACACATTCAAACACTACAGTTGCGGTCAAGTGCGCTTGTACTAGCGGTAATTAACTCTCACTCAGGGCGGGTTTATTTGTCTAGGCGTGGCGGGTCTGTGACGGGTCTCTGTATGGCACGAAGCGCAGCATGTCGTTCTCTTCTTTCGGTAGACGTTCCTCGGTCCGTGCATCGTCCGGTCCACAAGGAAGAACGCGTTCTGGGACAAACGAGCATACCGATCGCACCACAAACGTTGCCACATGCGATCGAAGCAGAACGCGCGCTCGTCGAAACCTGGAACAGGTGCAGCACTTCGTGAGACGCTCGCGAACCGCGGAACGTCCCCGCGGGAGACGGACGCGGACCCGCTCCTGCCAGACCAACTCCATCAGGTGGAGCATTTGAAGAACCAGCTGATCCTGTTGAGACGGGTTTGCGACGGTCTGGGGAGAGGAGAGAGCCGAGGGATCTTTTTTTCGATTCGACGTGGATGCTTTTTGAATTGGACGCAGCGATATACAGTAAGTGCTTTCTGAGACAAGCTGAAGAACCCAAAATCCAAGCCCCATCCTCTGCATCCAGCTGAAACGCTGATGTCACAAGTACTCAAGTTTCAACCTTCGTAATTAGTTTGGAGTGTTGGCTACACTGAGCCTTGCTGAGCCTCTCTCTTCTTTCGCCACCCGCCTGTCGTAAGTCATCACCCACCTTCACCATGTAGCGGTCCACCTGCGGTCCAGTCAAAGCTTGCCTCTGCTTGGGTCTGTCGCCGAGGGGTGTTCAAATAGCCGGCGGGTCTCTGATCAGATCGTGACAGTGATTCTTTAGGTCCTTATTTGTTCTACTCTGACTCCCCTGCACTATGGGTGGTAAGTACAGCGCAATGATATCAACATATATCAACGATTCACAATGTCCTTTTCATTTCCCTGAGCGTCCCCAATGGGCCAGCAACTCAACGAAAGAAATCCTTGTCATTTCAGAAGTCCTTCCAGCTGCCAGCTGTTAAAAATTTTGACGATGATCTACCACCAAGTCTTCCTCGTTGTCGTTTGCCAGGCAAGGTCCAATACTACCCACACACACACACACACCTCTGGAACACGAAAATACAAGTACCTGCGGACATCTGGATTCCATTTACATCCATTTACATCCCACGCGCTCTTGGAATCACTTGGGAGCAGTCACCCATCCCAACCTGAGTCTCACTGACCGTTCGTCGCATTCCGTCACCGGCTTCCAAGTCCAGACCACAGCCAGAGTCGGGTTCCTCACCGGGCCGACGCACCCGGACGTCAGCGCTTCGTCGTCAAAGCGCTTCGTCGCTCGTGTTGCGGCGGCAGAGTCCACAGCACAGCTACAGTTCAACAGTTTTTGGGCCGCCCCCTAAGCACTTGAAGAACTCGATGGTATGAAATTGCTTGATAGAAGCAACTGCTACGAATGCTGGGATGCAAACAAAATGATTCCAATTGCCAACCCTCACCCCATCTCAACCCTGTAGCTCTCAAATCAGTAAACATGTTCGAACGTAGTGCGCTTTGCGTCGCTCAATCTCCAAACCCATCCGTAGCTTGGCCTGCAAACAGCCCAGCAACAGCGGTGCCGCATTGGATTTCAAGATTTCGCCTTGGGATGGCCGGCCGCTTCGGCTTCATCGAACTGGATGTCATGTTCTGTCGAACTGGATGCCGCGAACAAGTCGTGCTGGCAGTGCTGGCATTTGTCATGTGAGTGGGAAGAGTCTTGCATCTAACCCACTGATTTCGCGTTTCCAAGTTGCAGTGGCCAATGTTGACCCCAAGGAAGGGCACGCTGGGATCAACAGGCGTAGAGCGAAAGTCGCGGGGCTGTCTCACTAAACCTTGGCTGCTGCAGCCACCCAATAGCTGAGAGTCCCGTTAGCTTCTCACAGAATGGTTAGGATGTTTTAAGTGACAGCACAAGACCGGTCAAGCAGTTCAGTCCTCAATGTGTTGTGATCTGAAGACTGACCATCAGCTTGTTGCTGCACCAATTCGAAATATGTGCGCAATCCAACACCGGCACTAAACCAAAGCTTAGTGAGCCAACGTTCACTGTGTGCAGAGTCATCGGCGAGAAGAGTTCCAACATGTTCCAATTCCAACCTACCTTTCGCTGCCTAGCCTAGCCACTTGCTGCTTGCGTTGCGGCTAACAAGCTCGCGTCGACCTGAGGGGCAGGAAAGAACAAACAACAATACACTCAAACTTGATACAACTTGATGCTTGCATGCATTTTCTTCATGACTTTTGGTGTAATTATCCAAGTCGTGCTCTCGTGCTCGGAAAAAACACCGCGAGGCTCGCGAGGGTACGAGTACACCCGAAAAACACCGTCCACACCTCCAAGCGCTCCAGTAGGTAGCTATCCTCCAAATACACCAAGTACCTCTCCTCTGGGTCTGTGGCCTGCTGGGTCTCCAAGTCTCGCACAAAAACGGTAGCAACTTTTGGAGACACAACGGCTCAAAACCATGGATTAAACCTCTTGAACCTCATCTTGCTTCGGCCTGATCCTCGCGCTGCTTCATTTCATGCAAGCGATGGCGAATAGCTCTGGTCTTTTCAGCTGTGTCACCAGCCTCGGCAGCTCAACAGCCATTGACGAAGTCCTGAGGTCCTTGCCTTTTTGTGTGATAGCATGCAGTAGCAGCTGGGAGAAACTTGTAGTCTGGTCATCTCTCTCTGCCCGGTCTTGGCATTGACCTATTTGGTCGACCATACTGACTGCAGCCCAATTCGCATGAGGCACGGATGCATGATGATAGAATCGTCGGGAACACTCGAGCTAGGAGTTAGAACCATATATATGAACCATGCACAGAGCGTTTCGGCAAAAGCCTGCATAACCGCCAAGCTTCAGTTTCCCTGCCAAGGGCAGCCAGTTGCATCGTTTGCTGCCACAAAGCTGCCTGCTGAGTCTGGTCTGGCAAATGCAATAGCAGCACCACAAATAATGGATACAGTATCAAAATATCTGTACATGTGTCTTATACTCAGAATCTCCATCAATGAAGTTCTTACATTCAGTGCAGTGGCGCTAAAGAAGACAGCATCCTGAATCAGGTCACCATGACGGTGGTGCTTCGGGTGGAACATCGTGATTCAACCCAACACCCAAACACCGCCTGTTGAGCAATCAAGCCAAGAGCTTTATCTCTGAAGGCTTTGTCGGCATCCGCTTCCGGATTCGACTTCCCAGACCTCTATTCGAGCAGCAAAGCTAGCTGTCTGTCTTCATCATGGGAACAATTGAAAAAAAAACACACATGTTCATTCTGTTTGGAGAGCTGTCTTTGTTGTCCAAAATCTAAACATCAAACCTCGATGCTTGAAATTGGCCCGCGGGGTGGGGACCAAACCGCACACTCGACAGCTAACTGTCAGTGTCATTGACAGTACAAACTACTGGCAAATAATTGAAGAATAACATCCAGCAATTCTTTTTGAATCGAGTTGCTTGTTTTGAATCGCCCATTGATCGAGCTGAACGCCACGAATGCTGTCCCAGAACTCAATATTTCCCTCCAAAGCATTGATCAACACCCAACGCGCTTTGTCATAAGCTGCACGGTTTGGGTCAAGGTAGTCCTGGGACAAGCACCACAAAGACCAGTAGATCTCTGAAATAAAGCTGAGGTCATGCGTTCCAATAGCGTAGCGAAGGAGAAAACTCAGCAAGGGTCGTCGTGCAGCATCTATTGCCACCAAATCCCCAGCCTTGGCTTTGCCTGCACCGACGACACCCAAGCCCAAAAAGGTAGGCTCCCAGCGCAATGAGAGGAGCACTTGTGTGAGCACAAGCCGCAGAACTTCCCTGGCAGCACTTTCTTGCTCTCTGGCACCCGAGCTACTTGAACTACTTGAACTGCTCGAGCCCGAGCTGCCCGAGCTGCCCTCGACAATTCCTCGTCTCCAAATGGTCCCATTGGCATCCGCAAATCGGATCTCTTCGCCTGTGTGGGTTCCAAGCACACGGCCTTCTGCCACATCGAGCACTGCTTCAATGGCCGTGCCCTGGAACACCACGCCGAGGGATTCCACCCATCTGCCGACGGAGGGATCTGGATCGGAGCTGGATCTCTCGCGACGGATGAGTATGGCACCCCGTTCCGGATCCAAGATCTCCAGCCAGATGCGTCCACCCGATGTAGACTCCACATATTCGCCACTCCAGGGTAGAACCAATGACCAAAGGACATCGGCCACCGTGCTCCGGGCCACAGCTGGACGATTGCGATCACTTTGTGCTTCACTCGTCAGACACAGACCCTCCAGCATGTCCTTGGAAGAATCGGGTCCAGATGGTCCAAGAAGCATTCCCAAACGCTTTGACACGGTGAGATTTCGTGGGTCAAACACAACGGAGACACTGAGACATTGAGACCAGGTGACATGAAGCCAGCTCAATGCGACCAACGCAGCTTCTACCGAGGTACCCCCAGAAGCTCCAAACGTGCACTTTCCACACGGTTCTCCCGCACCACGTGCTGAGGGCTTCCAACGGTGCTCAACTCCAGGGCGATGGTCTCGGTGACCGGTGACGTCCGGGCGAACTCGACCGTGCGACCGGTGGACGTGGAGCGAACGGTTGGTGTTTTCTTTAGTAAGTCTATAGCGTCCCATCGAATTCACGGTTCGATGCCGCGATGCGATCGGAGCCCCGTGAACTAGCGAACATGGCTCCTAGGTAAGGCCAGGAGCTCCTAATAGGGTCCTTGATGTACCGAAAAGGGAGATCCAAAGCACTTTCATTTGAGTTGTGCCTCTTCAATGTTGACAAACAACACCAGTGGGTTCCTCTCCCATGAACCTTCAGAAGGAGGGTCAAGAAGTGGCATAGCATTATGGGTACAAGTAGGACGCGGAGCTTGAATTAAGCATGGTGCTAATCAAACCCAGGGTTGTGAAAAGAATGTTATCTTGTTATTTTGCAATGTGTAGGGCATATGCTACATTCTCATCATTAAGCTTTGCCATTTCTGGGTGTGACTGCTCCAAACCGATCGCCCATGTTCCATCCTTTCCGAATAGATGTTATTTTTGTGCGTAATTCTCGATCTGTGGTGCTCCAACCAGTATATTTGCACATATTATTGATTATTGTGATGTCCTGGGTGGTGGGACAAAAAATGAGAACAAATCGGTATCTGAGAAACAAATTTTTATTAAAACATATATATTAAAACTAAGTTGTTTGTAAGTCTAACTCCGTGAATGCATTTGTCCACTCGTGACATTCCAGTGAGTCTGGAAAAGCGTATGTGTGCTCATATGTTCCAAGCATGTAAGCAGCTGCATTCAACTCAATTGTTCGACCATAGCTCTTATATCAGTTATAACTCATGGAGCTACAATAACATACAATAAACCGTATACTGTCATACGTTTGGAGCTTTCACACAGCCTCTTTTACAGCTTCACGTCTCGTCTTCTTTTCTCCAATGCAACGACGCGAACCACTCCCGAAAAAAACAGGTTCCCCCGAACGCTTCTGAACGGTTCCACGAGGGCTCTCGCATACAATAGTTCCAAGTCTCCAAGTTCCTTCGCTTCATCAGCTCCCCCTCTCCCTCCAAAAACCGACACCATGCCCCTCCAGCCCCTCCATGCCCCTCCTCCAACGACCGGAGCCCGACACCACGGACGCCGCGCCTCCGGCAAGCCGAAGAATTGGCTCCGCGAGGCCGAAGGATGAGCGTCGCGCTCGTCGCGGGGCACCAGCTCCGAGAGCCGTGGCATGTCCTGCACGGCTGCACCGGGCGGGATCGGACCGCGGAGACCGCGGTGCGGTCTCGGGTGGTCTCCGCATGGGAGCACGAAACAGCTGGCCAAAGGGGTTGAAGAGGCTCATTGAAGAAGATTCTTCAAGAGCCACGGGCAAGGTTGTCATGCTGCTAACTAGCTGTGCCATGCTGCGCCCTCTCCAGCCTTCAGAGGTGGTGTGAAGAGGTCTTTTTGTAGGGGGTGTCAAACCCCTATCAACAAACAGCACTGGTATTGACACCCCCTAGGGTGTCTGATTCTGGAAGGGTTCGCGGTTAATGGAATTTGGTTTGTGGAAGCTCTCCTGCCGCGCATGGGACATTGCAGCATCCTGCCGAACACGCTACGTGCGACAAAGCCGACATCACTCCGGGGTCCGGTGTCTGATCATGCCAAAACTGCAGAGTAAGGCGCCCGGAATCCAACGAGTGGAATCCGAACAGAGCATCCAAAAGCATGCGTGGAACAAGCACTTGAATAAGTGTGAACGGCACTTTGTCCACCAGCGCGTTCCCAAAAACATTCAACTGGCAAAGCTTGGAATCTGAGGCTGCTACCTGCATGCTCCGAAGCTTAGGTACCACAACCCATACAAGGAAGGCGTTGAGAACCACTGCCGCCAATTGTACTTCCTGCGGGGCGACGGGTCAAAATATGTCAAAATCCCTCAGGAAACCAAAGTAGCGACAGTCTGATACCCCAAAGGAATTTGGGAACTCCAGAATTGGTCAAGAGCTGGGGCTGGGAACACAAAAGCCCAAATGTCATCAGCTCATCAAAGGGTTGGTGCATCTACGAATTGAAATTCACCGTGCTCGACGCCGTCTCCAGTTCACTGTGGCTCTAGTATCCACTTCGCTCCAGCAAGCACACAAGGCCAGACTGCAACCGGCCCTATGCATAATGTATTTTTATCATATAGGAAAACTACACACACACACACACATATATATATATACCAGACACCTGATTAAAACCTTTGCTTATACAACAAGCTTTGGAAAGGGTGTTTTCTATTGTTTTCTTCATTTAAAATTGTTCTTGTCTTTTGAGGCCTGGAAGGTGGTTCGGAACTCGCCGCTCCGGATGCTCCAGGGCAAGATTCGACACACAATGAACGCTTCCAGATACTTCACCTCAAAACCAAGTTTAGTTTCAAGGCCTCAAAAAAAAAAGCCAGAGACGCCTCAAAAATGCCAAAGCCCTCAAAAGCAGGCTTTTTTCCTTGCTATCAGCAGTGAATCAGGCGGAATGTCCAGTTGCCAAGTCACGATGTAAAATCCCATGTTGATCACCTGGAAGGCCTCTCGTGGATCAAACATTGTGATGTTCACAAAGAACAAGATCTCCGACATGATCACAGCGCTAGCCACCTGAGGGGGGGTTGGGAACAATGACAAACATGGGGGAACGCCGTGAGGGCGTTAGCAATTGAGGGCGTCCTTGTGATTTACTAACCAGATGTTAACGTCGTATATGCCTGCAAGAGAGTGGCAGCGGGAGAAGGGAGAGGGGCAAATTGTATTCCTATGCTTTGAGTCATAGGGCTGTGGATTTCTCATTGCGTATTTTAAAGTTGAACCGCCCACAGGGGCTGACCGCAACAAATTACCAAGAACGTACTGAAGGCGACTGGAAAAAGACCAAGGCGCATGCAAGCGGATGGTATGTCTCGGTCATTTCGACTGTTCGCGTGTCTCTCTCTCTCTCTCTGTGTCTGCATATGGTTGCCCTCACACAAGGCTCTGCATCCCTCCCATGCGACAGGCTAGACTGGCCCACAGATTGTCCTGTGATGGGAAGGTGGCATGCCAGGCATACCTCCCAGTGATGCTGGTCCTCACACAGGGCAACCCTCTGCCACCTTCCCATCACGTCGACCAGCCGTCGATCCCCGGGGAGCGCTTGACGCCCCGAAGTCGTCGCTGTGTTCGACGGCAGTCCCGCCACGAATCCCATGGGAACTCCTGGAGTGACCAGCGGGTTTGGCCTTCCGTTTTTTCATGGTCCTCCGATATTTCATGGCCAGGGATGTTGCCATCTCTTCCATGATTTCTTGCAGGGAGTGTGCCAGGAAACTGAAGGGGGAGTCAAACTCTTGCTTTTTCTCCCCCTCTGCGTGTGTGCTGCTCTCAGTCTCCTCTCTCGCTCGATGCGCCTCGCATGCAAGAAACTTGGTGCACGCACTTGTGCTTCAAACCCCGTCCGTATAGTAATATGTTATTGGGCACGAAACAAAGGGGCGTAGGAGTGTAATGATATTGGTTAAAAAGCTTTCAGGCGGCTTGGCACCCTTGCCTGGCTCGATGCATGTCTGCAGGACATTCGCCGGCGCCAGCCCAAGAGCGTTGGCATGAGCAAAAGCAGCACACCTCACAATGAATCAGTCCATTTCCGAACTAGTTGAGTGACTACAAACTGAAGCCTTAGCTGAAGGTGAAGAAGATTTGAAACACATAAATAAATTAAGTCAGCTTTGTTGGCCAATTTGGAGATTCTGCAAACCCATTGCGCCTGTTGACACTCAAGTTCTTTGCCTCCAACACTGGATATATATATATATATACATATGATACACATACAACACATTATACAGTGCATGATTTGCCTGGAACATTTGTGGAGGTTCATGGGATTTATGAGCTCAAAGTGCATAGCTCACAATATAGTATAGTCCCGTTCACTGTTTCCTCCTCATTACTGTGTATATATATATATAAGTTCAATCAGCAGTATGCTCCGTGGATAGTCACAGCACGTCACAGCTCGCTGCAAAACCCAGGCACTGGCCGACAAATCGCAAGCGAGAAGGGAGAGCAAGGCAATGTAACCCACGGACTCCATGTTCAACAACAAGCATAAAAGCGGAAGCCTCAGAGGCTGCTGCTGGACGTCCAATCCTCGCCTCAAGCCTCTGACGTCTGGACGTGGAGATCTGACACTGCTCACAAATCATATAGCAGCAGCTAGCAATTACCCCTAGCAGTCTGCATTCATGCACACTTTGTCAACTTCAATCAATGCATCACCCGGCGCAACCTTACAGTACAAGTGCAGCGCACTCCTGCTGGAAAATAGCCGTCAACGCCCACTTGGAACTTTCATCTAGCTGCCTGGTCAAAATCTCCACAAAGTAGTGCACCTGTACTAGCTTCTTGTGGTGACGCACAAAGGCATCGTCCACCCAAACATACAGCACAACGTCCTCAGTCATCAACAAAACCTTCGTGACCACGTGAGATGCATTCCTTTGAGCTTCATTGATCACCTGTTGCCTGAGTCTTCCCAATTTAATCATTGTAATACAATGACTCATTGGAGTGTTGATTCAATGACTAATTCATCTGGTTTCAATGCTTCAATGGGTAATCATCAGTCTGAGATTGAATCATTGAATCTAGACACTCAAATTACATGAGCAATACATGCAGCAGCATTTGGGCCAATGGCTCACAGCGTCCTCTTGCATTCCAAGCATCCGCGCAGGCCATAGACAAGCAAATGATACCAATGGTCAAAGCAGCAACTTCTGTGACGCAGGGCTGGCCACACCTGCCATCTTGACTCTCCTCCAGGAGCCAAGCCTGTGCAGGTTCGGGAGAATGACTTTGGACATTCTCGAGTACTTTTGGATGGGTGGGGACTCTAAAGAAGCGCCCCCCAAGTCTCAACTCAAGCATCTGTAAGCCCAGGGGCGGAATGCACAATTGCAGACCTCGGCTGAAGCTATGTTGGACAACACATAGCCCCCCGCAATGCTGCAAGCCATGTTGGGAACAAAGTAACGGAAGGCCTCTCCTTTCCAGATGCTGAAACAGCAAGTACTGAAACATCCAATTACAATGCTTCCTTGGGGCCCTAAACAGAAAAGCCAAGCCGCAAAAAAATCAAAGGCAAGCTTGCAATCGAGAGTTTGCGTAAGCCACGCATCAGGTTCTCACCGTAGCGGCTGCCCTTCATTTCCTGTGCTTGTCGTCCATGATTGGAGCTGCTGAGGACCTAGGTATGGCAGTGAAGAAACATGAAGAAGGTCTTGTCTGATTCCTGAATCATGAGTGAACAAGCAGCAAGCATCAGCCCCTAGAGCTATCTATGCACCTTCCCAGGCACCGATTGCAGCGGACTGGTTTCCTCCTCACGAAGACCCCAACAAACTCCATCTCCCAGCTTGTCCACCATCTCGACCAGTGGAGCTAGTTGGAGGGCCGACACCACCAGCGCCACGCACCATCCATACGGACGGTTCTTTCGAAAGGCCGAGCGGTGTCGACTCAAGGTCAGTGCTGAGAGGAAGGTGGACGCCAAGACTCCGAAGACCATGAGCCAAAAGTGGCCGTTCCTCACCTGGAATTGAGGAACAATGACGCCCAAAAAAGACGGAACGTAATGCGCTCGACGCGAAGAAAGAACGGTCCGGTCCAACAAAAACCCGTCACCGTTTTCAATAGAAAGAGGTGAGGAGGGCATCAGTTCTGAGGCGTCCGAAACTCAGAGCTCGCCGAGCTGCCACAGCCCCCCCATGTGTCCGAAATGTACCTGCGCGGCGGGAGCCGCTGTTGCAAAGCCAACGCGTCTGTAAGCATTGGTCGAGTGCTCACATTGCAAAGCTAACGCGTCTGTAAGCATTGGTCGAGTGCTAACATTCTTACCACTGTGCCAGGCCCGCCCTCTTTCATGCCGAGCTGCAGGATATGGATCAAAACGGCAAGCACGTCGAAGACCCGCTGCGCGGTGAGAAGAAGCCCTTTGATGGCAAGGCCAAGAACACGTTGGAAGGTGCTGCTGCAGCTTTTCCACCTCAAAAGCTATAGTCAATGGGAGCCAACATGAGCCAACTCAGTATAGATTATGAACATATTTCTGTGTACAAATCATGAAACTTGCGGACAGGTGGAAAAAAGGTGCCTGGCAACGCGGACCTTTGTGCCATGTTACATGAATGGGCCCATACCCATGCGTCTCTGGTCGGTGACGGTCGTTGGGCCTATGTCTCATTTCCAGCACGTGTGCATTGTACCCTGCAATTACATGTAATCATATAAATGATCACGTAATGATTGATAAATGTACCATGATCATTTATATGATCATATATGATCATTTAATCACGGGATTCTAGCGTTGATGGATCAATTCCCCCTTCCAAACGTTCCAGAGTGGTTTTCCGTCAAAAAGAAATCACGCATGCTCCACAGCCGCGTTTCAACGAGGCCGACAGACCATGACCATCACGTTTGCTCACTCAGGGCCTGTTCTGGTCATGGTCCAACAAAGGCCTTTTGCGTGAGCAGCTCGGGGACACGGTCGCTTCCGCGATCGGCATTGCTCGGGTGAGTTGGTTGGCCCCTACTGCACTCCCAAGTAAAGCGCTGCGTGGGAATTCCAGAGTCAAAAGCCATTCCTTGTGAAAAGAATGCATTCTTGTGGGGTCGTGACGTCCAACCCAACACCTTTGGCCGTATTGCCGTATTCTTGCTACTCCTTTTGCACGTACTTGTCTCAGCCTGTTACTAGTCGTGAGGGGTAGCTGAGCCCAAGACTTCAGTTTAGTGTAGCTGCAGCAACAGCTGATCTATTGGCATACCACCTTTGCATCAGCTGTGCTCTCGCTCACGTCTCACTGGCCCGCTCAGTCAGCTTGGGCCAATCACGGAGAAAAGTACGTCGCCACGAAGGCTGCGGGGGGGGGGGAAGTGTCTGGCAAGGCCGCACGCCTGCCATCACCATGCAAAACCTGCATCATCACCTGAAGGATCTAGCAAAAATCAAGGGGTGGAATCAAGTGAGTCCGGGTCATGGATTGAGTCCGGGTTCAGACTCTCAGGCCATGGTTGTTCCAAAGGAATCATTGCCAGGCATGTTTCCAAGTAGCAAAACTCAGCGAATTCACACGAGCCCTGCAGCCAAACGCACGCGCTCTGCGGCAGTTTTGGGCGTTGGGCTTCTCAGTTGCTCTTGCGCCTCATCTGACGCGGCCTCCTCGGTGCCACGCCGACGCTCCTCACGGGTTACATCAGCGATCGGTACCAGTCACACAAGCCTTACCTGCAAACAGGCCTCACACTCATGCAACCAGGTCATCTTGAATTCCGGTGGAGCGCCTTTTCTTCCCTGCCTCACCAGTGGCACGTGCCCCTCGGCTGGCAGGTGAGATGGTGTCATGTTCATCCAATCGCGCCGATACGCTACGCCGTCATCACCTACATTACAACTGCCACGCTTAGGGGCTCTTCATGGACAAACCCATCTTGCCAGCGTCAGCATCCACAGACTCCACACGAACCTCCACCTCTTGACCAGCAGAAAGCTCATCCTCAACGGATTCGACGAAGCCATCTCTAATTTGAGTGATGTGAACTAAACCATCTGCAGAGGACCCATCTGGCGCAGTAACAGTGACAAAGGCACCGAAAGGAGCGATCCGAGCCACCTTCCCCTTCAGCCAAGTGTCAGGTTCAACATTTTCAAATGCACTAAGATCGGCCGGCGCTCTGGGCGCGCCGAAGCCACCCTCCCGCATTGAGAGGCTCATTCTGTTAGAATCTAAATCGACTGATTCAATCCTCACTTTCACTTCTTGACCAACGGACACCTCATCATCCACGTTGTCCACAAAACCATCCTTGATCTTGGACACGTGAACCAAGCCGTCCGCGGAAGCACCATCGTCCAACGTCACCGTCACAAAAGCACCAAAAGGAGCAGTCCGGGCAACCACGCCCTTGTACCACTCATCGGACGACAGGTCTGCGAAAGGTGTCAAATCATCAATCTTTCTTCTTGGTCCATCTGTCAGGCCTTCCACCATAGTAAGGCCAAACTTGCCCTCATCTTCCCTCTTGCCGGAAATCCACACGTCCACCTGTGGTTCCCAAACGAAGAAAGCAGTCTCTCATGTCATGTCTCCTATTGAGGCCAGGAGATTTGCAATTAGCATTCTTTACGTTATGACACATGCACACCCAAGCCTGACAAAGTACTGAATTTAGTAATCCCGAGTACCTATGAAAAAACGGACCCCTATTAAAAGAACGTCATGTCGGGCCCCCCTAAATACGATTTATATGTGTTTTTAAATTGCCGCTACTAATACGATCTATATGTGTTTTTTTAAAAATTAGATTCCAAAAACAACCGTAACTGCCCAACAACGTAACCGCGCTTGCACCAGCAGGCTTTCCTTCCCCCAATGGCACGGACTCACGCAAACGCACTTGCCACCGAGGTCATGCAACACCGCATGGCACAGCGACATCGCCTTTCGAAAGCTTTAGCTGTTAGTCTACTGAAGAATCACTATTCTAATGAAGGTTTTTGTAGGGGAAAAGGAAGACCCTTCGATCTGGAGGTTTTTTTGCATTTTTGATACGAGTTTAATAAATGATTTTATATAAAATTTTCCTGGATTACTTTTTGGTTTTGAAACTCTTTCCAGGTGACCCTATTTTGGACCCCCGGATTTCAGGGACCCCCTATTAGAAAAAATGCGACCGAGGATTCCTTGTTAGGGGGGGTGTGGGTGGGGGCCGTGTTTTTTAATAGGTGGACCGGATTATGCTCGAACAATCTCGAACAGTGAAACATGATGAAATATGCATATCCCCAACCTGCTGCCCTTCGGACAGAACGTCGTAGATGTTCTCCACTCGCTCCTGAGAGATGCGCGAGATGTGCAGCAGGCCCTGGCCTTCGGCGCCAATGTCAACGAAAGCTCCAAAGTCCAAAACGGAGGCAACGGTGCCTGCTGGGGTGTGGCTGCGTTTTTGATTGCATGAGGCCACATGCACAAGGTCCATGAAAATAAAATCTGTCATCCTGAGCAAGCTAGCAGCTATAGTACAGTAAATGCTAGTAATAAGTCATTGTCTGTTAACATCCTAACCTTGCCTGTATACTTCTGGCCAACTTCGAGTTTGCCGTAGGGGATGGGAGGGTATTTAACGTCCTTGGCTTCGAGCTCTGATTCTTCCGGGCCGCCATCTGGGTCGTCCCATTTCACAGTGAAGGTACCATCGCCCACTTTTGTCACCTCACCTGGGTACCAGTAGCCATCATCTGGAAAGACTGCCTCCACCCTTTCGCCAACCTTGTAGTCCTTGAAGATCACAATTTTCTTGATTCCATCAGCGCCAACATCGTGGGTTTCAGGCCCTCCGTCTGGGTCATCCCACTTTACACTGAAGGTGCCGTCATCATTGATCTTGTCGATGGCGCCCGGGTACCACTGATCATCGTCAGGACACAAGGCACTCACTGTGTCCCCCACCGCTAGGCTGCCACTTTCCTCACCTCCCCGCGCCCTTCGGCTAAGATCCCGGAAGCCGGACAATTGGGATGAGATCGGTCGAGGAGGAAGTCGGGGAACTACAAAGCTTACTGATAGGAAGCTTAGCACCAGTAGCGTTAGCAAAGGTGAGGCCCGCGCGGCCCGCATGGCAAAATTGGAAATTTGAAACAAAGTTGAAACCAAAAGGTGGCCTCCTTGATCAAAAATGGCACCCTCCAAGCCAGAAACTCTTGACTCTTGACTTCTTTGATATATGCTATTTGACAACTTCTATTTCTAGTGCTGTTGTAGAATATAGATTTCAGCTTGAATAGTTCAACACCGACAACTTCCCATGACACATGACACATCACAACTTACCCCTTTCGTCCTCTCGTTTTCGCGTGTCATGTGAAGGAGTCACGGCTGCACCGAGAGCCTGGTCGGAAGGGGCGAAGATTCTTTCATGGGTGGGGCTGGTTTTTTCAGAACTCTTTCTGGTGAACATGGCGACTCTTTCGTGGGACTTACATCCGCACAGCTCTGAAGACATGTTGCACAGCTCCGCCAAAATGTCTGAGCTCCAAGATCATTCCACCCTTCAGAAAGGACGCCTTTTTCCAGCTCAAGGTCCGGTTTGATCGAAAGGTACGTCCAACTTTGACGAAATCTACGTCCGCACTTCTCAGTGAATGCCAAGTACATCTGCTAAGCCATTCGGACGCAATGTGGCTTGTGGGGCCCACACATCAGAGTTCGAAGGAACCCTGGGACCTGGAGTGATGATGCAGTTCCAGGTGGGCCCAAAATCCCGAAATTCATGCATGACATGCTTGTGACTCTCCAAGCTCGTCCAATGTCGTTACGGCTTCCAAAGCAGCCAGCCGTCGCAGCCAACCTTGCGGATCAGGTTGGCTGGAGGTACATGGTTGGTACTATCAGCTCTTAGTATCGCCATGCATGTCACTCCGATGTGGCTCCGATGTGAAAGGGATTCAACGTTTGACGGGCTTCCCTCCAAACCCCCCAATTCCTCCGCGATCGCCTGGAACTTGGGTCGCAGCTCTTCAAAGACCAGGAAGCCAATTGCTTTAACAAAGCATGCAAAGACTGCCAGGCATCCAACCAGAAACACCTGAGACGAGCTGAAAACATGACCTGCTCGCCCACACAAAACACAAGGATTCCACAAGAGATCGGCAGCTGGCTGGGTCATGCCATCCTGCCATTCTCCAGGATTTTTAAGTTATCTTTAACAATGCCAGGAAACGCGTGATATATTCGTAAACATGAAGCATACATCCATCAAGTTCAACTAACTATAAGCTTGCTCCCTGCCAAGCCGCATAGGATACGATCAGCTTCTCCTTGATCGTCATGGGTTGGGGCGGGACGTTTATTCCACCTCTCGTCTTCAACCTCCAGTAGATCACTGCAGGGTAAACATGGCTGACCCATGGCGTCGTCAAAGCTGTGGTAAAATCCAGAAGGACATTGATGCTTGGAGTGAACACGCTCAAAGTCAAAGCAAATGCGAAAACCTGAACAGCAAAAGCTGCGCCATATGGCAAAATATGGTGAAATGCTATGAAATGCTCCCGCATGCCGGTTCCAACTAGTGTGTCCCATACATTGCATAATGAGGCATGCAAATCATGCAGCTTTGTGTATCCTAGTTGTTCTTGCAGCCGCTCGTGAGTCTCTTGTCTCGTTTCGATCAGCAAGAAACCGGGAGAGTGTAGGTGAGGTAACGGCCAATGTCTCCCGCTGACCAGGTGTCTTTGAAATCTGGAGCCCAAGCGCGCTGACAAAATCGGCCGAGAGGAACAGAGTCCAACATATATGACACAAAATTCCCGCCAAGCTGGCAAGCGTTGAAGACCTGAGCTTTTCCAGGTTTGAAGTAAATTTCAGTCTGACAACCCTTTCCAACTTAGAATTGAAGGAGTGACCACAAGTTCAGCTTGCACAAGTTGGTGAAAATGGGTGAAAGCTGTGTTATATAATCCTTAACGCTTGAATGACAGAGGTGTATGTCAGGTTAGTGACTTCAACAATGAGTGAAGGGCTGAAGTTTTTGTTCGAGTGGGTTGAGCGAGTTGTTCGGTGTGGGTGAGGTGAGTGCTTGAGGTGCATACTTCATTGTCATCACCATCTTGTTTGCACCCGTGCCAGCAGCAGCTCAACTTTCCTTGAGTGATCCATGCAAAGAGAGGAGAGAGAAGAGAGAAAAGAGAGAAGAGAGAGAGAGAGAGAGACCCTCTAGCAGGGTGAGCCCGTCAGGTGAGTGATTGAATTGTTGTGGAAGTATATATGTGGAAATGGAAGTTGGTTGTGGAATGGAAGGTAGGCGGGAGGCGGCGGGAGGAGGAGGAGGAGGAGCTAAAAAACACCTCGCACCCGGTGATGGGAAAGAATGCAAATTGAAGCAGGAAGCGCTGAGTCATTCTCTGGTGCAGCTAAAGCGCTGAGTTGACCGCAAGCCCCGGTGTCCATGCCATGACAGGTGTGACTGCAATCACTTCTCCCACTTTGTAGCCCCATCGGGCAATGACCACGCACCCAGCGCAGAACCTGTCAAGTCAGACTGACATTTCATGAGCGAACATTCTCAAACATCAACGAGATTCCTCTCGAGATTTAAGCGGGGCACAAGCAAGCTCCTTTGAGACCCTCATTCAACCTTTAAAGGGGAAGGCCTTGGAAACAAGGAACGTCCACACACTCGCACGCGTTGCAAAGCTTTTGCGGCAAGCCTTGTGTGTTTCGTGTGTTTGTGCTTTTGGTGACCTCTGCTGCTTCCAAGGGGCCCTAACACATTCAATGCCCCTGCCAGCAACAGGGACTTGTTGAACTCCGACGGCTCTGCTAAGCAGGAACTCAGCTCTACCGTCAAGAATCCGGGGATGAACGCCCAAGCGGCAATGCTGCAACCACCTGCCAACCTTATGAGTCTCAAGCCCTCTTCTGGCTCCGGATTGCCAAACCACATGGCCGGAATCTTGTGTGGGTTCTCATAGCGGAAGGAGGCATAGACCATGGAAAGCACCATGCCAATCACGCAGGCGAGGGATAAAACTGTGAAGCATTGAGCATTCTTGAAGCTACGTACTTGTGTCGTGACAAGGCAAACGAAAGCCACGACAAAGACATAATAGTCCACACACTCATCGAAGCCAGGGAAGTTGCCAATGCCCTTCAAGGCGAGACCGCAGAAGCGAAGGGCACATGGCATGAATAAGCAGAAATTCCCTAGCTGGATAAGGTTGCCCCAGATTTTACCAGGAGTCCCCAGCACTTGGAAACCAATATCTCCGAAGGTCTTACAATCAGGATACAGCAATTTCAAGCGAAGCAGGAGCTTGGCACCCAGGATTGAAGCACCTCCAGGGTTTTGTTCACTCCACACAGCATTTCAAATGCTCCCAATTCCTCATTTTCTTCCCACTCTTGGATGGCTGCACGCGCCTGTGACGATCAGGCACAGAATCATTCCTCCCAGGAATCCAGCATTGCCTATCGCAAAGGGCATTGCCATTACTGCGGACGGCGCGGCAAAGCAAAAGATTGTGATGCCCGCATGTATCCATCCCATATAGGATGTGTCCTGCAATGCTGAATCAGCTGGATGGTGCCTTTAGCACTTTTGAAGTCACAGTCAGTCAACTCAATGCGAGAACAAGTGTCCGTTTATTTTTCGGTGCCCCTCCTCGCGTTCCAGCAACGTTGTGTCCTGCGCGCCCTCCATGGCCTTCAAGTAGGGACCGGCCCGTCTAATTAAATTTCCGTTTGACCTAAACAGCCCAGGGCTGCGGAACAGACGCGCACAAAGGGGATGCGAGATATTCATGTTTATGCAAGTACAGGTGCACCAAGTCCCCTTCTGCATCCTCTGCTAGCATCCTGGAGTAGTGTTTCTTTCATGTTGGGTCACGCAGAAACTGCAAACCGCTGATAAATTCCATTAAGGCTCGGAAGGATCAAAAACCCCGTGGGCGCTCCGTGCTGAGTGGCCTCTGTCAAGGGGGCTCCGTCAAGGGGGCTCCATGGCTTTGACAGAGCTTAGCAATGTGAATGATCTGCGTGAATGATTCTGTGCATATACTGTCATACTGTCTATGTATGTATAATATATATATATATATTACTGCGTATATATTTATATGTATATGTGGACATGTAGTACAGCATAATATACTATAATATATGTAACTGTCAATGTCAATATCCTTCAAGGAGTTGAACCCATCTATATGCTAAGTCAAAAGAACCTCTGCTTGACTTCAGTGACAGGCAATGGTGCTCACGGCTTGCTTCAACCATCTGACTGTCTACAGAAGCAATGACTCAGTCGAAGCTTCACAATGCAGTCCTAATCTGGTTGTTTTTTGGAAACACTGAGTGCAACACAAGTCTAGCACACTGAGTGCTACATCCAAGCAATTTAACTCCGGGGTCTCCTATGTAGACTGCATGCGCAAAATACAGAGGCCATGGCCGGCCAGGGTCGCTGGAGGCGGCCAAACTCAAATCGAGTCTGCAAGAGAAGCTAGCTCAGGGAGGCTTCGAAATGACACCCGCCGCTTCAAGCACTGTGAAGGGGACAGAAGCAAAGCTGACCAGCGCACAAATGCAAAGCAACGCCTGCTTGATTTGGCGTCTTATGGTTTTCTCCAGGACCACACCCATACAGTAGGCAGGTATGATCAGCATCATAGCTGTAGCCACTGTAGCTCCGAGCAAGCTCAATACCGTCCCCACTTGTGGCACAACCACCGCGAGTGCAGCTTGACATGCCAAGCCAATGATTGAAACGGTGATTCGAAAGGTTGGTTGATCCACAACCGTATCACTGGTAGGACTTTGATTGCCAAGTAGTGGCCTATCTCGCTTGCAAAAGAAGTCCTTCAGTTGCACTCCTGATCTGACTGTGGGGTTCAGATTCGCGGGGATGGCCACCATCATTGTCAAAGTGAGGAAGCAGCGTCCAGCCGCCACAAAGTAGTCGTGCGGACTGTAGTTTGTGAGGATATCAGACGAGGTGTCATCCAAGAAGGACAAGTAGCCTGTGACTCCAATCAAGCTATAGAAAAGCCACTGGAAAAGATTCACTCTGATCGAGATCTTCTTGGTTCGCTCCACCGTTGGTCGCACCAACTGATCCGCAATGGGCACCACATTCAAGTGGCAATTGAAGGCGAAGACACATAAAGCAAAGGCCTCGAAGAAATGAGGGCTCAGGGTGAACCAGCGGATGGACTCATAGCCATGTTTGCCCACATTTACACTGAAGCTGTGTGGGCATTTCACTGCTACCACAATGGCCATGTACACCAGTGCCATGATTGACACCGGCTGAAGAAACTTAAGCCTTGACAAGTCGTATGGAAGCATCATTGGCACCAATAGCACAGCAGCAATTGCAATGCAACATGTGCGGCTCAGGCCTGTCGTGTCTTGTGCCCACGTCTCTCCGGGGAACATCAAGGCCAGGACGGGTGGTACGAAGTCACCGATAAAGACCATGTAGCCAACACATGCACCATTCCCACACACGAAAAGAAACGCATCAAGTATCGGACCAGCCAGGTGCCCAGCACAGTGTGAGAAGAGTGCCGCATAGGAGCTACAGCCTGTCTTTGTGCTCATCTCCATCAGCGCAGCCATTCCAAGATATGCCAACAAAGCACCCAAGGCCAAGATCATGCAGCCCAAAGCGATGCCGCAAATGTTCATCACGAAAGCCACCGACAGGACGCCACCACCAAGAGCTGTGGTCGTCAAAGTCAGCATTCCACTCCGAAAGCCATTCTCTGTCAAAGGGGAAAGCCACCTCTCCATACATGACCTCGCTGGAGATTCATCAGCTGCTTGCATATTCAACGAACTCCGCGAAGATCCATGTTCACCATCCGCTGTCATGATGGCGTCTTCAGCTAGGAGGCAGAATGGCTGCGAGAAACCAGACTCAAATACAGTATAGTTACTTCAAACCAAATCTAGAATAGAACTGAGAGGTAACCAACGTGGCCCTTTTGCATCCTATTGCACATTCAACCCCGCGTCGACCAAAGAGGGAATGGACCCCGCTTGCACACCTAGTAATTACATGCATACGGTCATATGGGTCATGACTAAAGTCACAGGTTGACTGAATGCTTCCGATGCTCTTTCCATGCTCCGCTGATGTTTCTTCTGCAAGGATCCGGGTGCCCGAAGTATCTTGAAGATGGTATCATCTGGTCTCTTCGCACCACTGTGCCGAAGGCCAAATGCTGCCAGTCGTCTCTGAGGGACCGCTCAGGCGATGCTCTGCACACACTCAAGTCCTAGGGGCCAGTGGCAAGTCACACGTGAGATGCAGGGAAAGGATTGGAAAATGCTCAGAGATGTGCAGAACTCATCAGAACGCCACAAGTGATGTGGAAAGAAGCCCCAAGCACGCAAGGCAACCAGCCTTGAGACAAAACATACGAACAGAATCCCTGGGAAGCGTGTCTACTTGGACATTCTTCCTCCACAGAATTGCCATGAATTGCCACAACAAAAAGCATGACCTGTGCTTGAATATTCTTGCATAGACATTTGGCGGACACACTTGAGCCTAGTACTACAGACTCCCCCCGCTCCTGTGCAACCTGCGGCATGCTTTCACAAAGCGCAAGCCCATATTGCCATTTCATAGCAGCACCTTGCATTCGACGCTCGGCGCTGCGTTTCGCTCGGCGTGAAGGTAAGCATGTCAAAAACTTGCAGGGCGTGACGGTCAGCGTTGAAGTTTTGCCGAGAATCGGCAAGCTGCGATCAAAGCTTGGTACGACAGGTGGTCTCTTTGCGCTTGGTACGAAAGGATCGTGGAAAAGCTCAGTTCCCACTGAGATGCGTGAGCAAGGCAGAACAGGAGCGCATTCGTACCTCGGATTCGAAATCGAAAACGAATTCTGATGGGCCATGAGCTTCTTTTTTTAGTGGCCTCACAGCCACTAAGTACTAATCCTTAAGTGCCGTGCTGATGGTAGAAGGTGCTTGCTGCATGCCTAGCCTCAGGAATCAGGTCATACATAATATGCAGGGATCAGGTCATACATGGATGAGCACACACACACACACTCTGAGCTGTGTACGATGATGCAATTCTAGAGCTGTGAAACAGACTGTGAGGCAATGGAACTTGTACCATCAATCTATCCCTGCGAAGGAACCCAGCCATGAGTCGTAAAGCGCGCTCCCATTCTCCAGGAGTTTTACAGGCACTGATCGCAGCAGTCAAGCTAGTATCACTGGGAGGCAGCGAATTTGATTGCATCTCCGCCAGCAGATGAAGCCTCAACAAACGTTGCAACAATTGGACAGGCCAGGCATGGATTCCACACCCCGAGTCACATGGAAGTTCACCAGCTGTTTGGCATTCGGAAAATTAAAGTTATCATCCCAAGAAATCCAAGGGGTCATGCATGGCCATGCCATCCACTTCCATGATCTCTTTCAGGGAGTGATAAAAAATGCCATTCTACCGTGGTTTCAAGTGTAGATGGCGCCAGTTATCCCGATGCTTTAGTCGACCCCCCATCTGTGCCAACCGGAACGCCATCTGGCCTAGGAACGCCAGGTCCCATCGATCGGTTCTCTCACAGGCGCTGATGGCAGCATTGTAAGTGATCTCATCTGCTTGCACTGACTGCCTGGCCCAAACGCTTCAGACTGGCTGGCTGCATGCCTGGATCATGAAAATCACTTCATCCTTGGCATCTTGGCAATGTTAGACAGCAGAAAAAAACAGGAAATGCTAAGGTATCTATATATATATAGGTAAAAGTAAGTGGAACTCAAAACGACTGCGAACAACATAGCTATACGCCGCCTTGTCATTGACTGCAGCAAGAAGAGTGCCATCTTTCGCTCACCTGCCTGGCGAGTTTCTCACGCAGCAGTCAACCGTCCGTAACTGCCACCATCGGACCGTTCGAACCCACCGACCGTGGCCGTGGCCGTGGCCGTTCGAACCAACCGGCCGTGGGCCTTTTCGCAGCTGCTCAGCGCAGCATTGCACGTCACGGTGTTCCATTCCGTGCGGTCGATCCACATCCTCGGCGCGGCGCCGCGCGGCGCCCCCGTAACCGACGTCGGTGGCGCCCGCGTCGCGTCGCGTCGAGGTCGGTCCGGGTGAGTGACGAAACCGGAGCCTCTGATGTTTGATCCATCCGCTTCGGTGCTCGCATCAGCTGCGAACAGGGTGGCCGTTGAGAAAATGTCCGTGCCAAGCTACTGATGCAAAAGCTGCACTGCCAAACGCCACCTCAAATGTCTTCTATTCTAGACTGCAACTGTTTGGTAAACGAACTCTCTCTCCCTCTCTCTCGACAGAGTCTGACTGAAGCTCGGCCGTCCCACAAAAACTCCAACTTTAATGAACTGAACGATACTGACACATTTTGGGTGTGTCCCATTCCTTGTGGCAGTGGATGATGATGGTTAATAAAGGCCTTTCTCTGAAAGAGTGATAATAGTATATAATAGTATATAGTAATATGTGATACTCTTTCATTGACTGTTACAGGTCCTGGGAAACACACGTCCTGATACTGAATAAGTGAGCATATCGTCCAGTCGGATGTCCGTCCAGTCAGAGGTCCAGACACCGAGTCGCTGGGCCGAACTCTGGAAGGCATTGATGATGGAGCCATAGCTTCTGGTACTTGCCAGGCGATTTGAGCACATCCTGAGATTTCCCAGCGACAAACCGACACCTGCGGCACATCTGATCAGTCGTCTGAGGCGGCTTAGGTTCTGGGAAGGACCAGACATGACCAAACAATATAGGAAGGGAAGTAAAATGAGACCTCGCTGCCTGCAAAAATCCTGAACAGAAATCACCTCCATAATCAGATCATACTCAGTGTGTGCATTGCCGATCCAAGATGGTTTAGTTCGAAAACTTGGGAGTATGGTCAGCTTCACCAACGCTTCACTGTCCAGGAAGTCGAGTGGAAGATTCTATGTGGATCGCACTGGAAGACAAGAAAGTGACCATATAGAAACGGCCAGTTCGGTGCATTTCAAGTCGACCTGGCCACTCACCGACCAGGCGACCGCTCAAGACCGACCGACTCAAAGCTTGGCTGACTTAGCGAAGTTGCCAAAACTGAAAACCTCACGTATACCTTCTCAACAAAGGTATACTATGAGCTGACTTGTCGATTGGAAAGGAGGTGGTCAATGTCAACCTTGGACCACCTTGGGCCTTTCGAATTCATTTCTTAGACATCCTGAGCCATCCTCCCTTGCAGTTCAGGCTTGCGTCTGGTCAAAGAGACTCAATGCTTGTTGCCATGCCCCACTTCTCTCACAAGCCGTGATAGCGGTGTTGTAGGACGTCTCGCCTTACTTGGTCAGCGCAAATGTGGCCTGAACCCCAAGTTCATCATAAATATTCATAAATGCAGATGGGCCCCTGGTCAAACAACGATCTTACCAGCTACATCCAGCTACTGCATTGCTCCATGTTCTGCAGTATGTTCATACTCGTGCAAGTGGTACTCTAGTAATTATGCTCGTGGCAAGTTGTAGCCATCTATCCCCGCTGAGCAAGACACTTGCACCATACTTCATCGCCCTGTCAAAGAAGAATAAGGCCCATTCCCATCGACCAGCTCGGCCACAAATGGCCATCATGTGACGTGCTCGGGTGATGTGTTCCTCGGCTCTCAAGCTGAACTCCCCGAACTCCGCATGAACTCCCATCGCTGATGCCCATGCCGTTGAGATCTCACAACTGCGCAAAGCTGCATTGATGGCCACCGCGTTCGGCCGGTCGTCTCGGAGAACAGCCGAAACGCCCCGCCGGCCCCGCAGTTGGGAGAACAGCAACGAAAGGGCCCATGGCCAAGTGCTGAAGTCACTGCAAGCTGCAATGGCCGCGCCTGGCAGGTCCAAAGGACAAAAAGGTGCGTTGCTCGACTGCGACGCAGACGAACCGCAGGTGGACGTCTGAGGTTATTTCGGACTTTCCGGGGTTATGGTGATGCTTATGGTGATGGCATCGATGTTTGATGAATCCTGCGAAAACGTCAGATGACATTGGCATGTCCAAATTACTGAGCACTCAAGCAATCACAGTCGCCGATGGATTACACTGGGGTGGGTGCTGACCAGGCACCTAGGCTGACATCATCGGCCCGCAGCTCCTTCTCCATGTGAAGAAAGAGATGCAAAGCACGTTCCCAAAGTGTGCTATTCGCATAGGCCGTCAAAAGGGCGTTGCAGCAAATCACCGAGGGTTGAATGCGTGAGTGGGACAATTCTTGGATGAGCTCCATGGCAAGCTTCCATTCCTCAAAAGAGAAAATGTCGCGTGTCAGTCCTATGCTGGGATCACCCGAGTGGAACACGCCAGTTTTGACCAAACAGCTGAACATACGACTCATGGAAGTGGATGGCATGGGTGACCACTTTCATCCAGTGCCATGGGGATCTTTTCAGGGAGTGTCTGGACAGACACGTTCATCTTCTTCCTCCGAGTGTCGGCCGCACTCGCAGTGGCGCTGATGGCTGCGCCATATGAAAAGACGTTGGGCGTGGCCCTCAGCGCCAGCATGCCGCGCAGGAGCCTCAGCGCCAGCGGCCACCGGGCCGCGGCCGTGGGTACGCCAGGCCCATGGGTCGGGCCCTTAGCCTTCGCACATGCAGCGATGGCCGAGGTGTAGCTGGCGACATCGGGGGAGACGTCGAGGAGTGGCGCGCGGCGAAGTAGGCCAAGAGCCTCTTCCCAGTGCCCACGGCGAGAAGAGAAGGCGAGAAGCTCATTGAATTCTTCGCGATTCAGTCGATGAGTATCTCGGCCTCAGCATAATCAGGAAAGGGATACAGGTAGGTCAGGTAGGTCGATGGTCGATTGAAGAAGCTTGCCAGTAATCAACTCTTGCTGTGATAAGTATCCGGAAAGGATCTCAGGGATCAATTCTTGAAGCTTCTTTTTGACCCTTGGATCCAGCCAAATTGCAAAAGCACCTTCGGACATCCAAGAAAATCAAGAAGAATGAAAGAGCTGGCATCTAAGCTGGTCAAGTCCGGCCAAGTATCTTCAGCTGTAGTTTCTGCAGCTTAGCACTGGCCGACGACATGGGAAGCAAAAACAAATTAAAGGAGAATCAGAAACGTGCATAAACGGCATAGAAGAAAACTTTTGTGAAAAAGGATCTACTGTAGTCTCTTGACTCTTGATGAATGGAGTGCAGCTGCTCATATGCTCAACTGGACTGGAAAGCATGAAGGCCAGCCGTACTATACCAATTCAAGCTTCCATGGACTTACTTACTTCTGCACTTCCAATTGAAACTGAATGGATCACAAGAAGCCAAACGGCTGTGGCAACAAAAGCGTCTCAATCGTCTAAGGCCTAAGGGCCTCAGGACTTCATCGACCAGTTGCATCGCCAGCCGCGTTCGCTTTCCTTCGTTGCGGATGTTCGCCAGCCGGTCGCTTCGGCTTTTCTCCGGTCTCCCGCCGTCGGCGCAGTCGATCCGACCGCCGTCCTGGTCAAACGAAGAACCCGAAAACCCGCCGGTCAGGGGAAATCTGAAGGAAGAACAAGGAGAAGGTGGAAAGCACATCGATCTTGCACATGGTGCAGTACGAGCTCCGCGAACGATACACTGGGGTGGACACGGGACATCCAATCGTGCCTCGGATATTAGCCGCTTAGCCCTCACGCTGGCTTTACACTGACTGAATGAATCCCGCTCACCAGGAACATCAACGTCTCAACTCTCCACATCCTCCGCAGACTGATGCCGATTGGGAACGCAAACTGACTTCGCTCCCACTTAGCACGTGGCGCCCCGCGCTCCGTCCTCGCAAAACTCTGGATTGTGGTGCTCGGGCCTGCAGCCTGCATGTCAAAACGCTCACTTTTCTCATGCATCCTGAGATTATGCGGTAAACTTTGCACGCCCCGCAAGCGTTATCCCAACGACGCATTAACACGGAAGAAGCATTTAGAACAAACGCTGTTCCGTCTCGCTCCACTCCTTGTCTTTTCCGAACCGTCGTGGATCCCTTGTGGAACCGTCGTCGTCCCGTACCGAGCACACTCCGAAGAACCATGGGGAACCGTGGATGGCATGACCCCTTCGATGGCCAACACCAGACAGAAAGATTTCCTCTGCCATGAGTCATTCAGGGAGTGTACAGTCTCCGCAGGTTTACTCTGCGGGCTACTCAAACGTCTGGCTTCATTGACAAACTCATCTTGCCAGCGTCAGCATCCACAGACTCCACGCGAACCTCCACCTCTTGACCAGCAGAAAGCTCATCCTCAACGGATTCGACGAAGCCATCTCTGATTTGAGTGATGTGAACTAAACCATCTG